AATCCTGCATTACACTAGAATATTGAACCCCATCTTCTAAATTATATCTAGGAGTTTCAGTTGTATCAGTAGACAAAGGTGTTAGATTAGAATCCTGCATTGCACTTTCACCAGATCCTGGTAGGTCTCCCAGTATAGTGGGGTTTAAAGATAAATTCTTGAGCGACGAAGATATTTGATCAGAATCCTCGATTGCACTTTCACCGGATGCTGGTAGGTCGTTTAAAGACATAATCTTGGGTGGTGATATTTTATCAGAATCCTGGACTGTACTTGCACTTTTGTCATCGACCTGATTGCCTTCACTTTGTTGGCTCTGCTGCTCAAGTTGTGCTTCTACTGGAAAGGTAGTGGATGCTTCATTTTGAACCTGTTGGTTCTGCTGATGCGGCTGTAGGTCTACCGGCAAGGAAGTTTGAGGAGTGGGTGCTTTATTTTCACTCTGTTGGCTTTTCTGTTGCAGCTGTAGTTCTACTGGTATGGTAGTTTGAGAACTAGATGCTTCAGTTTCATTTGTTTGTAGGAAGGCTAATATTTGGGTTCGCATGGCCCGCAGGTTTTCACTTTGGCTGGCTTCACTAGGCATCTTTTCAACAATATCTTTCAACTAGATGAACATAGAAATTGCCAAGAACCACTCACTGAATATTAAATTTTTAGAGCAAAGGACTAGTCGATATATTTTCCAATACAATGAAAGACATGAATAGCCTGAACACATACCTGAACAGAAAAGGATTCAACAGCTTTCCTTGCATATTTCCATTTGGAAGATTGGTCAGTGGCGAGCAAGGAAGCTTCTCTAGCGCTGTTCTGTAATTTTTGAATCTCGTCGTCTTGGTAGTCACACTTTTGCTTTAGAGTTTTAATCTGATATGAAATGAAAGCAGAACAAAATCTAAGTAACTTAACCATGACCAAAATGTAAGATTAGCAGGTCTCAAAATTAGTATGAGTAAACAATACATGGTTCTGAAGCTTTGAGACTTCTTGACTTAAAAGTTCATTTGACTTCTTGAGACTATCAAGGATGCCTCTAGAAATTACAGGAGTTCCAGATCGAGGAGGACTAGGTCTCCTTGTATATGGTGAAGATGGTCGTGCAGGTAGACTACTAGGAACCGGAGGTGCTGGAGGAGGTGTTGGTGTAGAAGGCCTCAAAGCACTTTGAAGAGCACTTAAAGAACTAGGAAAAGCAACATCTTTAAGCTGCTGAAATGTTGGCACTTGTGAGGCTCGAACCATAGAGAAAGAATCTAATTTTCCTCCATACCTTTGACTCTTGACCTCAAGGTATTTCACCGGTTCAGTAGTGGGGCTCAACAAAAGCTTTGAAGACCTTGATTCAGGTCTCTCGGTCCTTTCCTTGGTGCCATCCATTGAACGTCGAGGAGCAGAAGTAGGCCTTTTGTTGAAAAATGAGGCATTTCCAGAGGCAGTAGCCCTAAGTTTACTATAACAAGCATCACAAACACGATGTGGCTTGCTCGGTGTAGGAGCAAGAGCTGCTCTAACGGCCTTTTTAGAACTACATGCATGACAATGTACAAGACCACAATTATAGCAGTTGTGCCTTTTTCTTGTAAAACCAAATGCTTGCCGACACCCTGAGCAAACAGATTGATCAGCTCCAGAAACCCACTTATGGATGCATATTACAGCAGTCAAATTTGAGCCGCATGCTACACTTTTCACAAGCCTCTCTCTCAGTGCCTCAACCATTGTTGGGAACTTGCGGTCTTCTACATCTCCATGCCCAAGTCTTCCGTTTGCACCTTTTCCCCAAGTGTATACCTCACTTCTTGAAGTCAGGACTGCGACATGATGTGCCCCACATGAAATTTCCTCTACATACTCGCCTATTAATTTGTCTTGAACTAAACTAGGTGATTTCCCATCGGCTTGTGGATTTCCAAGTTGACCGTGTGATGGGCTGCCCATGGTGAAAACATGGCCTGATGTTGTAAGAGCAACTGTAAAATTATGTCCGCACGCTATCTGGTTAAAGCTGTAATCAATGAGTGCGGATACACACGTTGGAAGCAAGTATGCGTCTTTATTTCCTTGACCCAAGCGAAATTTGTCACCATCTCCCCAAGTGAACAATTTTCTGGAAGAAATGGAACTACCAGAAGTAGAAGGACTCATAACCTCCACAATAGCTGCAGTATGCCAAACTCCACATGCAACCTTAACTGTTTTTAACCCACTTAATAGTTGAACCTCTTTTGGGTAAGAAACACTTTCTCGTTCTCCATGGCCTAAAACTCCAAAAGATCCATCGCCAAATGTGAAGAGCTTCCCATTAGAAGTAGTCAATGCTGAATGCCAAGTCCCACAAGCAATGGAAATAACCTGAAGACCTTCTAAAGGACCAGAAATTCTTTTTGGAATCCAATGGCAAGCATCAGTGCCTTGGCCTAAAAGTCCAGCATGATGAATACCGTCACCCCATGTAAATACATCACCTGATGTTGACACTGCACATGAGTGGTACTCCCCACAGGCAACAAAGTCTACAGTAGTGACTGCAAGAAATTCAACAAGATGAGGTCGAGTGAAATCTCTTTCGATTCCATGACCAAGTCTTCCTCCAGATTCTTCACCCCAGGTGAATACCTCACCTTGTTTAGTCACTAGAGCAACATGTGAAACCCCACAAGCAATTTGTTGAACATCAAGAACTACATTGGATTCCAATGGTTTTGGAGTTAAAACATCAACCTTTGTCGAATTTGGGTTTCCAGATCCATCTGTTAAACCTCCATCAGACCATAGTTCACCCCATACATACATATCTCCTAATGACTCAATGTCATCTGGTCCCGAACCTTGACTTGAACAACTTGGTGTGCTAGAGATACTAAGTCGAAAACCATCTGCACTAAGTCGAAAACCTTCTCCTGTGCCTCCTCTTAGTTGCATATTTGCTTGCTCAGACCCAACATCTGAACTCAAAGGACCCAAATCAAGAGACGGCCTACTACGTACACTTGAAGCAGCCTCTAAAACAGGACGACCATGTTGAGAATATTCACCCTCATTTAACTGAAAACAATAGAGCAAGCTAATCAATCATATTGCTTTAAACTAGTTGATATTTCGAGTAATAAGAACCACAACAGAATCTTACACTAATTTTCCATGCCATAATAATAAAAGAAAGAAAAGAATTAAAAATGTTTACAGCTAGTTAAAATACTTAAATTTTATGAAAATATAGCCAAACTCACATCAGATATCTCACTTCTTGTGCGTCTATTTCGCTGCTGACCAATTAAAGCCTTTAGTCCCGCGAGCCAAACTTCTGCCTCAACTTTATCTTTACAAATCTATCACAGAATAGAAGTGATCAGCATGAGAAAAACAGCACAAATAACTCAACTGTGTTAAATTAAATTTGAATAAGGTAAAAAAAAAAAAAAAAAAAAAAAAACAGTACAAATCTGAGTGCAACTAACCACGTCAAGAGATCTGTCACCGTGATTGTATATAAGCGAAAATGATAAGTAATCTTTTTCAGGACGCAGAAATCTACGAAACACAGCCTACAAGAAAGATTTTGGAAACTAATATAGGAATTTAATCATATCTGAAACTTCATAGAATGAATGATAATGTACAAAATTGAATGTAGAAAAGGTTTAGTAGCCCTTTCTATTTGGTGGTTTATCTCACAGTTCTTTGTCCTTGGATGATTTTTGAGACAACAGATAACTTCAAATTCCTTTCTTCTCCATGTGATAACCAAATCAAAGTTGTTTCATCCTGCAAATTTTGCATCAATAATTAGCTCTTACATTTACCAAAAAAACACTCACAACTCACATGATCAATAATTAGCTCTGATGGTTCTTAAGAATACAAATAACTTCATATTTCTTTCTTCTCTACATGATAATCAAATTAGAGTCATTTCATCTTGTGAGTTAAAGTCATTTCTTCATAGAAAATCATACTATGTCAATAACTTTGTAACATACCAATTTAAATGGGAATGTAATTATACTAAATGGAAATGTATCCACATATTAAAAAGCAAACTCGAGTCACTAATCAAAATAGCTAGAAAACCAGGGGGAAAAGTAGAATAGGCACCGCAGAAAGTCTGAATGGACAAAACTTGGGCTTCCCCTTCCTGCTGTACTTGATGAAATGAGTACCTTTTTTCAAAATAATTAGTGCCTACACAAGTTGAAACAAATAGATCATATGGTTGAAATATATTATAAGAGAACTAATCACCTCAATTCTTTAAAAACTTACAATTAGATTATGAATAAAGTCATTATTGTTCAGATAATGGGATTTATACTACAACATGTACTAAGGAAAAATATCAACCACAGTTTGAAGATGGGAACTATGTTAAACTCCAATTATGTTATGTGTTTCTCTTCCCCTTCTCATGCATCCTGATTTCATGTATAATCCTCTATGTAAAACTCTGTGTTTGGGGTGATGTCCATTGATAACCACAATCTTTAGGTGGGTGCCTCTGCATTTAGTTCAATTTTATCACAATTCACTTTAACATCCAACTAACTTAATTTACTATTGATTCTACAATACCATAGATTAATCTAGATGCAATTTTTATGCTATGTAGTTTGTGTATATATATTTTTATATAAATTAATCATTTATGCAAATACTATTATATAATTTCTGGCCTACAAAGATAGAATAATGTCCTATAATGATGCATTATATGATCATCATACTTGTAAAAAAACATATTTGTGGCAAATTAACCAAAGAACACCCCACAAAAAGCATAAACCCCAAACTAATACACAAACATGGTTCAGCTTGGTTATAAAATCTCTATTATGCATCCAGATGGAAAAAGTAGTTGGTAATGAACAAAACTTATCAAATAATAACCAGATACAGTACACCCGGGTGCATATAAGAATTTTGAAAGTTATTCGAGTTCAACTTGTCGACCTCAATATCCCGAGATCGAGTCACCCAATTAACACAAATAAAACAATAATCAATGGAAAAAGAAAAGAGTATTACTTGGTCAATATCACGGTCAGAATGGCCATAATTAACAAGATCTGCCATTCCATCTGAAATAATTTTTGGAAACACAGCAACCCTGCTTTTGCTTCTCTAACTGCATCTGCTCCTTCTCCCTCTTTATCTTCATAGATGTTATTTTCTTTCTTTTTTTCCGCCTCTCATTAAAATTATTATCAATTTATAGAATAAATTCAATAAATTGCAAATTAATATTGCTAGATTAAATTGGTCAAATTTCAATAATTCTATGGACTATTAATGATAAATTTATTTTAAAATCTGGGTTAGAGAAAATTTCATGGTGGAAGTAATTTTATTTTAATTTGAAGAGGAGAAAATGAATTAATTAGAGAAAGAAGAGTGAGAAATTGTGTGTAAGACATGAATTTAGAACCCATTTTTGTAGCTTCGGCGATTTTGGCGCACTTGCATGGCTATGTTTTTTTACTTCCACACAACCTCAACAAATCTTTTCTTAAAATGAAATTTTTTTTTTTTTTTTCCTTCATCAATATTTATTTGGGTGTTTTTCTTATGTGCTTTCAGGCATTTATACGAAGTAATTGTATTTTTTAATCGTCAAATGAGAATACAAAAAAATTTGCCAAAAAAAAAAAAAAAAATGTAAAGTCTATCATGAAAAAAGAATGACTAAAAATGAAGCTATAAATGACCTTTTAAGATGATATTTATTAATTAAAAAATACTTATTAAAAAATGGAGGAAGAATGCCTGTCAAAAAGAATGCACAACAAAATTTGGATTATTTAATTCTCCAATACTTTTGAGAATGGAATATGTTACAATTGAACGTAAAAATGCACAATCAATGGGACTCGGGTGAGGAAGAAGACAAATCGCCACGACACCACACCAAAGTTGTGGGTTCGATATTAACCAGGCTTATGAGGTTCCCCCACCCTCTATAATGGGCAGCGCCGTACCCCAGGTGAAAATGTTCATCAGTCAATAGGGTCCTTATTTCTCTTGAAAATGTATTCTATATCCTGCATTACTTCCCAAGGCAATGGCCGCTCAACTGTCAGAAAGGCATCAATGTCTTCTCTAAGCTGATCAACCGAAGTTGCACCAATGATCGAACTTGTCACTAATGGATGATCTCTGACAAAGCCAAGAGCTAGCTGCACAGGAGACAGACCATGTTTTTTGGCCAGCTCAACATACTTGGCAGTTACCACCTGAAATTGGAGATGCAACATATGATCTTATTATCGCTGGGACATGCAACAAGGATCCTTTGGACATATATTCAAATATTTCATGGAAATATAAAGCATAGACTTCCATAAGTAAAAGAAACATAATCAAGGAAGCATCTTATTAACGGTGCTTCAGTGACTACCTGACTGTATGACGAGCAAGAAATAAGATGAATATACATCATATGTAGATTTGTTTGTTTTAGATAAGCTACTTACATACCTTTGCATAGGGGTTAATATATCGTTCCATATAACCAGGGAAAAGATTCAGCCTTCCTTTCTTAGCAGCAACACAATCAGGATCCAAATATTTTCCAGTGAGATTTCCACCAGCCAAAGGAGAGTAGGCAAGTAGACCAATGTTATAATTGTTTGGATGACAAACTTCAACAAGGTCAGCTGCAAGCATTTTTGGTTGCATTCAGTTAGCTTAAGGATAAACTGAAGTATGTTACTATAACTCTATTATTCAAGTCTGACTCTCGATACTCTGACTCATATGTGAAATCAGTATCTGAACTTAATACTCAGTTGGCCACAACTCGATACTCTGACTCAGATGTGAAGCCAGTATCTGAAACTTCGCTACTTAGTTGGCCACAAACCACACAAAGTGAAAATTTTCAAAAATATTCATATATTAAAGAGGGGCCGGGGTGGGGGAGGGGGGGGGTGTTGGCAAAAGGTTATGTGATGCTCACAAAATTAACTAGGGTGTATAATCTGGTGATACAGAGTTATAGGTTAAGGGAGTAGTTAACAAGTTAACCTTAAACATTTTTCACATAATTTGCAGACAACTAATGTGAAATGCCATATAGAAATGTCTTATATTTTGGGAATAGTTTCATGATTGTCGACTCACTGTCTCGTGTCTCCAATATTTATGAAGTTAAACATGTCAAATGACACTCAATTACGTACTCAAATATAGTTGTAGCAGGGTTGAACTGGCATAAAGAATATAATATTAGATGTAGATGCTCATAATCACAAATTTTATAAAAAGGCCAAAGCAACAAACAAGAGTGAAGAGCCCCAAGGCCCAAGGGTCAATAATGATGTTGCTTGCCTACTGATAGGCACGAAGGCTAAAACTTCAAATAAAGATGTGACAGACATATATATATTCCATGTTACCAAATGTGGACTGGAAGGAAGCAAAAAGCAAGTTCATATTAGACATCACTACTATAACTTAATAACAAGAGCATACTTAAATAACATGCACAAATGATGAGTCCCCCTCTGAAAGTAAAACCCAAAAAAGCAGGCAAAAGTTACAGAAAATGAAGATAAAAATGGTAAACTTGCCTTCAAACCGACATCGAGTGAGTAGATTGTAGCAGTTTTGAATGCTAACGATCTTTGGAAGTCCTCCAACTTTTTCTGCACGGACAAACTCCATAACACCATAACAAGTTTCATTCGAGATTCCAATGTATCTCACCTACATGTGTACGTGACAGTGTGTTAATGCACCAAAACAACAACAATAAAGCAGAAAATAGCAACAAAAAAAAACAATAAAATAACTTACATGACTAAGATGCATGCCAACAAGGAAATTTCACACCAGAATTTTGGTACACAAGATAATAAACTATTACTACAACAAAACGGGGACAATAAAGTGGGTGGTCCTTGGAAGTTATGAAATGGAGGCAAAAGGGATCAATTAAGCAAAAATAAGACAGGAGAAGTTCCAGTTGAAATGATGGGTGAGCCGTGAATTGAGTACATGCTTCAATTGACATGGTTTCTAAGAGAGGGAGTAGCACATGGGCCTTGCCATGGTTTCTCTGCATACTACAAACAATTAAAAAAATTCTTGAAATGAAGGGAGTATCATTCTCATAGATATAATACACTACTTAATATTGATGATATTTCTCCTTCCTCTTAGGCAAAAATAATAAACGGAATTCTTCATTATAAAAATTAAAAAAAAAAAAAAAAAAAAAAAAAAATGAATTATAAAAAAACTTTAAAGGTAAAATCTTCTCTTGAGACATAATACTACTTTTAGAAATTAGAAATCAAGAAATGGTGGCTAGTGAAATTGAATAACTTGTGAGTTGTGACCAATAGCCAATTTTACAAACTTGATCCTCATTTTAGACAAGCCAAAACACCATGTCACTACAAAATTTCATGTATTTAAGCAGTTATCCATATCCAACACTCACCCTGATATACTATGTAGCAAACATAAAACTTCTTCAAAGCTAACTTTTATAGAGTCTACATTTTTAAATCTGACAAAAGAATCCATGCACCTGATTGGAATTAGTTGGTTGTTTATTGATTTATAAGAGAGAATCAATCAATTCAGTGTTTAAAGCTACAGACTACACATGAGGAAAGCAGCAGACCACATGCATTTTAAACCTCTGAGAGCATAAATACATGCATTTTTTGAAAACAATTCCTTATGTTTACCCATATTTTCTTTTTAATTTCTAGGCTGGGTTAGGGCAGGACCTCAAGGAAAATTAGAACGTCTGCAAGATGCAATGACCCTCTTATGCTTCCTATAAGTTGTTTGTACCTTTCCTTCATCAATAACTTCTTGCAAGGCCTTAAGTTGCTCCTCAAATGGCACACCTTCCCTCCATTTGTTGTAATCATAATAAAAATCACCAAACAATGCAACATAGCGATCTGGCCTGACAAATAAGTATCACTTCTTCACTTTCTAAGTAACAAGAGGCAAATTTTAAAATTCAAAACAGGGGAAAATGAAAAATTGATGCTACTTGGTTCTTGAGAAAAACAAAAAAAGTGCACCGAGTATTATCTCACCAATGAATTTGTAATAAATCAATATAGTCAGTGTTGAGCCTCTTAAGGCTTTTCTCCACACTTTCTTTTATATTAGCAGCATCAACACGCAATACCTCTGCATTGTCACGGATATAACTGACACGCTCTGAATAACCACATACTTTTGTTGCTATAATAACCTGAAGATACAAATGAATCAAAGTTATGAGATTCAGCAATCCAAAATAACAACCCAAATAATTATACTAAGTACAGAAGATTATTTTTGGAGATTGGATTCTAAAGATGAACTTTACAGAACTTTGAACATTCAAGACCATCTTTCTCAAGTCAGTCATGGAACTGTAAGCATACCTTATTACGAGGCTGAGACTTCAACCAGCTACCAATATAAAGATCAGTTCTACCTTGTGTTTCCTTCTTCATTGGGATCGGATACTGTACAACAATTGCCAAAAATTCAACGAGCTAAACAATGACATAGGTTGCACATATGCAGAAGAGGAATGTCACATGTTTGTGAGACTGTAACATTATAATAATAATCTCAAAACTTTATATCGCCCTTAATAGCGTCTAAAAGCAGATTGAGAGTTAAAAAAACCGTTACACGCAAATTACAATAGTAGACGACCTTAAATTAAAAAAGTCAAATAAATCAAGACTATAAATGCTGGTGAAAGGTATTGCTTGCTGATGAAACTTTCACCTTGATTTGTATGGTACTTTTATTTTAAAGTAGACACAAAAGAAGGACAATACAGAAAGGCATGGGGTCCTTACAGCTTCTGCAGTATCCAAGATGTTGATTCCCTGATCAAATGCATAACTAAGTATATAGTGAGCTTCTTTCTCTGTATTTTGTTCTCCAAATGTCATCTGGGAACAGTTGCAATGGTGAACTTTTGTTTAAAAAAAAAATGCAAACAATACAGAACAGAACTGAAAATTCTAGAGTAAGCATTGAATGCAGCTCATACACAAGATTGGTTAGCAAGTAAAACAGTAAGAATATCCATCCCAAATGAAAAATAACAAATCAAGAGTAAGATAACATAAAATGAAACACTTGAGTGATCTTCAACATATTTGTTCACCTGCACTTTAACCAAGTTAAATCAAGAACAAAAGGAGTAGACAAAAAGGTTTTAAAAAGAATAATTTCTCTTGGGTCAATTTAAGGCTAATATAAACTCTGTACATTTATAGTTGATGATTAGAGCCGGACCCCCCTAAGAAACTTTACCGGCGAAGGCCACCCGAGTGGGGTTTATGAAGAAAATCCTCCAATGAATGATAAACCCCTAAACCTGAATACCTGATTCATGCCCAAAAACCTACTTCATGGACTTTAAAACAAACATTCACGGGAAGGTTTATATTATGGAGATTATAAGAAAATGGATAAATGAGGTGATGATATGATATGGAGCAGAATAGTTTTAAATCACTACACAGCTAAAGTTCATTTGTTGTTAATAATTGACAATGGTAATTATGCTCTACATGTACTAAGAATTATATCAAACAGTTGTACCTCACAACTTTTTATGCACAACCCTTTGAGTTATAGAAGGGCAACTAGGTGGAAACATTATGCTTACACAAACCAATAAAAGGGATTTCAACCAATCCAAATTCCATCAATTACAACTAAGATTATTTTTTGGCAAGTTTAATCATTTGGAAAAAGAAAAAACACAAAAACTAGGACCTAAGTTTGAATAGTTGACTAGCTTTTAGGATATATAAATTATAAAAGCATAAATTGCCTCCAAAGCTAAGTTATCAATACTGACAACAAACCACTAGCAACCTTGACACCCTCCAGCACCATCCAACTCATCGCCAAAGCCACCTGATTACATCAACATCCTCTCACATCCCCTACAATACTCCACAGAGCACAGCCACCACATTTAGGCCACGGGACGCCAAGTTTAACCACTGCCACTCTATACCATCAAATGACCTACAAGACCCACTACCTTCACCAAGCACAGATTGACAAACCCCTTCACTCACCCTGCAGAGACTATTGCGCACACCTCCTGCCCCCTCTCATACCACTATAGACATCTCATGTATTTGGAAGACAGGACTTAGGATACACCATATAACTATGTAAGCAACTTCAAGACAGGACTTAGGATATACCCTCTCATACCAAATTTATGTTTATTTTAATACGACCAACATTGTCAAATTTTTTATTCCAATTTCTAATACCCATGTTGGCAGCCATGTACAAAACCAAACTAAGAATTGGCCATGTCTTGTACTAATTCCCCTTCATTAAAAATTACTTTTGTTTTTAGTCTTTCCACATTTTCCATTAGCACTAATTATTTACATACCACATGAGTTAAAATAGTTATAAATTAGAGAGTCTAATAACATACAAGCTCAGCAAGGTTTCATCCTAAAACTAATTAGAAATAGGTGGAGTAGCTCACCATCTTATACTTCGTATGTTAGTCATACTCGTTTCCCTTGTTCAACAAAAGACAATTAGTCTCAATTCACATTTGGGTTACTCTCTCCACAATTAGTTTAAAATTAGCCTAATTCCGTATTTTGGACTCTTCAACAACAATAAAACACCCTCTCTTAATCTCAAATTAGCCTAATTCCGTATTTTGGACTCTTCAACAACAATAAAACACCCTCTCCTTTCCTTACCTGCCCTAGCTAACACATTGTTAATGAACCACGTAAACCGTTCTCGTTTGTTGGTTCCTCACCCATAAGGCATTGTTAGTGAACCACGTAAACCTATGCATTCCGGTTTGTTGGTTTCCTACGCCATCCATGAGAACCTAGAAATACAATCTAATTTTGACTAAACAACTAACCGTACTAGAGGTGTCAAAACTACATCCGACTTGATCCGATCCGAAATCAACCCGAAAATTATCACGATTCAGATTGCGACTCACTTGGACACAATAACTAATCACTTAGCTTGACTCAACTTTAAAAATTGACCCAACCTCACAGAACCCGATCCATAAGACATTGCTAATTATGGACAACTATTATGACACTGCATTGATCAAAATGATTTAAGAGAGAGAAGAATATACAGTGCCGAGGGTGATTTCACTAATGAGAAGATCGGAGTCGCCAAGTTGATTGAACTGCAAAGAGGTTTTCTGGGTTTCTCCAAGCTTAGCTTCAATGGCGAAATTTGCAGCATTGTTTCTCGTCCTACTAAAATGCGGCGAAAAGGGGCGGCGCGTGAAGTTGAAGCGAGTGGAATTGCCATTGTTTATGAGGAAAGTGGCGGAGATGGTAGTGATAGTGGTAGTGGTAGTGGTTAGAGTGACAGACGCCATAGCTTATTTGGATGTTCCTGTCTTCTTGGACAAGCTCCATGTGGCAGTTTTTGTTTAGTAATCATTTTTATATTATTTGTAACGGTTAAATATTTCCTACTCAAATTTTATGTCAAATAGTTGCAAATAATATAAGAGAATGTATTGGGTGTGGAGTGCCGCACTTGACTGATATATTTCACTTGTTGGCTAATATGTTTCATGTGTTGGCTAATATGTTTTATTTGTTGGTTGATATGACTTTTGTGTTGGCTAATACTCCCTCCGTCCCATAATACTTGAGACGTTGGGATGGACATGTAGTTTAAGGAAAATTAAAAGTGGGTTCATTTTAAAACATTTGTTTATTATATAAATGATTCTCTTTTGTATTTTTACATTGTAAGAAAACAAAAGGTGGAGGAGGTGGGGTAGTGAGGAGAGTGAAAATATAGGATTTAATTGTATTTTGGGGTTTGTGGTCCTAAAGAGAGTATAGGAAAATATTTTTTTATTAGTGATCTCATTCCATATTTTTGTAACGTGTCAAGTATTTTGGGATGGACGAAAATGGTAACTTTGTCAAATATTATGGGATGGAGGGAGTATATTTCTTTTGTTGGCTGATATGTTTTTTTTTTTTTAATTTTTGATATGTTCCTTTTGTTGGTTGATATGTTTCTTTAGTTGGCTGATTTCTTTATTTTGTTGGCTGATTTCTTTATTTTGTTGGCTGATATGTATATTTTAATTGTTGGTTTATATGTTTCATTTTGTTGGTTGACATATTTATTTTGTTGGCTTACATGTTGCTTTTGTTTGCTGATTTCATCCTTTTATTGGCTGATATGCTTCATTTGTTGGCTGATGGCTGATATGTTCCTTCTGTTGGCTGATAAGTATCTTTTGTTGGCTGATATATTCTTCATGTTGGCTGATATATATCTTTTGTTGGCTGATATATTCCTTTTATTGGCTGATACGTTTTTATTAATGTCTAATATGTCCTTAATATTGACTGATATCGGACATCAATTGGCTGATATGTTATTTTTATTGGCTGATATGCATCAATTGTTATCTAATATGATTTACAACCTACAAAGTATATACAAGTACAAACATATTTCTTTCTCTCTCCTCTTTCCCCTTCTTCTTCTCTTTCTCTATCTTTCAAATGAGAATGGGAACATATCAGCCACAAATTCTCACCACAAATCTTCACGCCACCCCTCACTCCTCCTCATTTGTTCTTCATTTCCCCCTAATGTCCTCCTTGACAACTCAGTCCGGCCGTTTTTGCCGCCGACGTTCACCGAACCCACCAACCACCGCACCACCAACCACCACATCCCCAACCGAACCCACCAACCACGCCATCACCAGCTGCAAATCGCCAACCATTGAACCACCAACCACATCTCCAGTCGCAAATCACCAACCGCCGACGCCATTAACACCTCCAATTGTAAGTTTTTTTTTTGTTTTTTTTCCGATTTAGGGTTATTTATTTGGTTTAATTTGTGATTTGTTTTGATTTTGGGGATAATTATTTTGGGATTTTGGGGATGTAGATCTGGATTGTGGTTCAATGTGTTTGATTTTGCAGGTGGTGGAAGGATGGAGTGCCCCTATCGCTGCTGTTGTTGTTGCCGCAACCTTCTTGCAGCACAAACTATTGGGTGCGACCGCACCCAATAGTTTGTTATAATATAAAACAGAGGTACTCGTAATATTTTTTAGGAAATTTTGATTTTTACCACCTTCAAATAACGACTTTATTGAATTTACCACCTCCAAAAAAAAAAGATTTACTTTACCACATCATAAAAAAATTAAACATCAGTTTTCCCACCTAAGCCTAACTCCGGTGACGGAAACCGCCAGAGGGGCCCGCCATAACAGCTAGTTTTTGAAATTATCCCCAAATTCTCCCGATTTCCCATTAATTTAAACCTAACTTCTTCATTTCTACATCTATTTCGTGAAGATTGAAGTTTTTTTTTGCCATTTTCTTCACAAATTCTGATTTTGGGTGATCCTTAACAATCCCACATCCTCAAATTATCAAATTATTGAAGATTGTACTCGGCCCTGAATCAATTGAACTGTTCGACGACAAACAGCGAAAAGGTAAGCAATTTTCATGAATTCTGTTGTAATTTTTTGCAATTGTTTGCGTGATTATGTTACAACTGCTAAGTATAATTGAAATTGCATGTTTTCTGTTATTAATTCAACCCCAATTTCATATTGTAAATAATTAGGGTTCATGTAAGTGTAAATTAATTTGGGGGTTTTTGATATTTCAATTAGGCAGTAAAATTAGGGTTAGATTATGGTAATTGTGTTCAAATACAATTAACTTCAATGAAAATTTGGCAGTAGAAATGGTCACACTACCTCCGAATTACGAGAACAATTTTTTTTCCAGAAGTCGAATCTATTCTTCGTCGCCGATTGTTTTCTGAAACCTCTGTCATATAACAATCAGGTTCAGGAAACAGAAATTGAAGCAGCTCAGGTACGAGTAATTGTTGTTGCTCATCCACGGATTCGGTATTTATAAGATCAAACACGTTTTTGTTTGCAATCCTTAAGCCATTAAGGATACAAATCAGACCAAAAACCAAGCTATAAGCAAATTATAAGATGAACTTTGGCTCATTTACTACCCAAATTAAGGATTTGTAAAGAAAATCGCAAAAAAAAACTTCAATCTTCAACAATTTGATGTGGAAATGAAGAAGGTTGTTTAAATAGGAGGAAAATCGAGAGAATTTGGGGATAATTTCAAAAACTAGCTGTTATGGCGGGCCCCACTGGTGGTTTTCGTCACCAGAGTTAGGCTTAGGTGGGAAAACTGATGTTTAATTTTTTTATAAGGTGGTAAAGTAAATCTTTTTTTTTTGGAGGTGGTAAATTCAATAAAGTCGTTATTTGAATGTGGTAAAAATCAAAATTTCCTATTTTTTATTCAAAGGTAAAATAACTATTTCGTTTAGGCTACGTTTGATTTAAGGAACAAAAAGAAAAAAGGCTACGTTTGATTTAACGTAAGACATATTTTTAACGAAAACCACAATTGTACTTATAGAGAAATATTTTTAATGTACGGAGTCGTAATTTTCTTTTGTATATTTCCTTCAAAGTCATAGTGAAATATTCTAATATAGCCATACAGGGGTGGAAAAATCAGGATGAAAGAAAATTAAAGTAAAAAAAGAGGTACGCAGTAAAAAGGAGAGAGGAAAATTTTTATGTAAAGGAAATTTTTTTCAGCATTATTGGAAAAATTGTTTTCCAGCCCTTGACAAATATCGTAAAATTGGGTCATAAAAACATTTCTATCAAACCAAACACACCCTTGGTGTTCTTATAGATTGTGTTGTGTCGAGCCTATTTATGTGAAATTAGCCGCATCAAGCTCTATAGGGATACGTTTGTGTTTTGACATTTTAAATTTATTTAGGTCTAAATTAAATTGATTTGAACAAACCTGAAATAAAAATGAAAGTGTTTCAATTAAATACAACTCAAATTAATGATTCGCCTTGGTTTTTAAATATAACAACCAATTTAGGTTAGATTGTCTTGTGTTGAGCCTTGAATTGGTTGTATACCGGCCTAGCGCCTACACATTGCATGTTATGCCTTGAATTTTTAATTTGGTTAAATGAAATTGATTCAAATCAACATGAAATTGAAAATGTGAATTTTCACTTAAGGTACAACTCATATTGTATCCAATTTAAACGTTAATTGATTTAGTTTGCAACTTGCTAGATATTGTTGACAAATTAGTACTTGGTGTAGTTGTAAAGATTGTACTCCGTATTTTACAAGTTTAGTAGTACTTGACCAACGTGTTTAGTTCTATTTGGTTTGTTAAATAAGATTAATTAAATGTTGATTAGCTCTTTTTTATTATTATTATTATTATTATTATTATTATTATTATTATTATTATTATTATTATTATTATTATTATTTATTTCTGTATATGCCAATATTTTATCAAGTTGTTTAGGTAACCAATGGATAGTTAATTAATTGGCCTCTAATTGTACACTAACATAAAACTAAAGAGAGACATACACAGCCCAATAGGCAATTGCTATAGTTGATTAATCAATTAATTACATTAGTAACTAACAAACGCATGATTGACCAACACTTTCTTCTTTATTCTAATTGTGTCTATGTTTGGTGCAAAAAAATCTAATATTATATTATATTGTATCACTAATAAATAAAGCCGGTCGCGCAGCCAGACCACGATACAGCGACACTTGACATTTCAGTTTTTTGCCAAGTGTCACGCCACGTAGGCGACAAATAGGTATTATTGTGACACATATGATGTTAAGTAAGAGAAGTTTGGATAGATTTTTAAAGATAAAAAAGTTGTATGGAGTTTTATTATCGATATACTTCTAATATTTCATATATACAAAATTAATCATAACTTTTAATAAATATCTTATAATTCGGTACTATTTCCATCATAAAATTCGTTTTAATCATTTACAAAAATAAAATTCGGTACTAATTCTTTAAAATAAGATCCATTTATAATATATTTAATTTATTTACAAAAATAATAGAGAATTAGTGAAAATAAGTTTTAATCATGAAAAATAATTTTTGTTTTGGTAAAAATACTTTTAGTTTAGTAAACATAATTTCAGTTTAATAAAATATATATTTCAATTCAGTATGTCTAAATATCCTGCATTATCAAAAAAGATTATATTATCGTATTTAACATTCAATCCAAAAAGTTTATCCAAAACTTATATCAACCATCTGGGCATCGCCCGGGCGCAAAACTAGTATATATATAAAGGGGAGTTTTTAGAACGCCACGTAGGATTTTATTTTTATAAAATTATTAGAGCGCCACTTAGGATTAATATTTTTAAAACGCTACAATCGGATTATGTCACGTAAGATTAGTATTTATAAAGCGATACATAGGATTATAATAAAAAATAAAAAAAAGCTACGTAAGAATTATTTTGGGTATTTTTACCCAGGACACGTGGTCCAATGGGAATGTGACACATGACACTTCAGGAGAGGTTCCTAGAGAACCAATCCCCTGCTGACACGTGGCATCTTTAATGATTGGGAAAAATGACGGCCTTTCTGGCCCAATTCCCAAGGAAGCCCACCATTCCTAGGTTTCCGTAACCTAGGATGGCGGCACACATTTCGAGACCTTATAAATAGGAAGATGTTCCCATTATGGGACACATTCAGAAATATTCACAAAAACAGAACAATCATTAATTACAGATATTCTCTTGGAATCCGAAAAAAATACTTTACTTTCCGCACTTTTTACAGACTCCATACACGTTTTAACTTGATCGTCGGAGGCGGAACTCCATCCAACGGGAGTTTCTGTTGTTTTGCAGGTACAGGGGTCCAGAATCCAATTTTGGTGTTGTAACTCTCCCGAGGGACACAGAAAACCCCAAAACAGGAATAATAATTTTAATACACTACAATAGGATTATGCCACGTAAGATTAACTTTCGTGCGTCACATAGAAAAATGATATATTTTACCCAATGAAAAAAAAGAATTGCAATTTATTTTAGATCAAAAATTTTATATTAATTATAAAAATAAATTTAGCGCGTTTTTTGTGTTGTTGGCCATATCGTATGGCAGGCTGAGACAAACCCAAACACTGACCGAGTAACTCCTGATCGTCCGAGTAACCTCGAATCGATTGAGTAACCCTTGATCAACCAAGTAACTCCTGACTAAGTAATCTCGACCACACCGTATGACCAGCCACATATTAAACTTTATAAAATAAAATATTATCTTTTTATATTACGAATTTTATCTAAATATGAGATCCAAAGTTAATAATTCATTTTATAATAAAAAATTCAAGTAATAAGCAAGCGAATATCACAAAGCTTAATAGATAAATATACATTTAATAAAATATTTTATTTGAAAAAAATACAAATCAATCATGCATCACACGGGCTTCATCTAGTTACTTGTATAAAGAAGAGAGACAAATATATTGTTAAGAAATCAAACTTTTTAGCATGTCAAAAAGAAAATAATTTATTTAGGTAATGCTGTAAATTTCAACACGCTTGTAATTAGGGGTATTCAAACAAACCCGACCGATGACCTGCCGACCCGCAAAATACCCGACGCAATTTAAGATTTTTTCGGGTGAGGTGCCTGACCCGCTAAAAAGCTGTTGTTTCGGGTTGGGTCATGGGCCAGACATGGAATGAAGCGGGTACCTGATACTTTACTCAGTCTAGGGTTTACTGACTTTACTTAATCTAAAACATTTATCTCTTGTGCCGCGCACACACTTTATCTATCATCTTACCCTCTCAAAGACTCAAACTATCAAAATCACAAATTCTTACATCTCAATCCACCATAAACCCGCATTATCTAATTCTCTGGCGATCATACCACATAAATTTAGGCTTTAACTCTCGACCTATTCCCCTCCCTCACTCTCTCAACAACCTCTCTTTCCCTCAAATGAATCTCTGATGAACGGAATATTTCCACCAACGCCTGCTCCTCCGTATACAGTACGTTGCGCTCAATGTTCTAAGTGTGGGTCATCGGAGATCGACAATGGAAATGACGCAATATCGGGTTCGAGTGAGAATGTGAGATAAATGGTCAGGATGATATGGAGAAAGCTGATAATGTCGTTTTGCATAAAGTTTTCTATATTTTGTATCCTAAAGGTTATTATTTGTTGCAAATTGTAGGTTGAATTTTGATTCTCTTTGATTTGTATATGAGAATTACTTTTTAATTGTTGCTTATTCAATTACAGGTTTTTTTTTTTTATTTTAAATTCGGGTACCCTCTGATTCGACCCGAAAATTTCAGGTACCCGTTACCGAATTTATCGGGTCGGGTCATGGGCTGAGCATTTGACTACCCGTAAAAGCGGGTACCTGAACGGGTGTGAACAGCCCTACTTGTAATATACAGTTATGTACATATAATTTTTTTTTGGATACTATTTTAAATATTTAATATGATGGAACACTGGTATCTAATTCTCATTGTACAACAAAATTTGGATGTTTTTTCCAATGATAACGTTTGAGAATAACATATGATACAATTGAATGTAAAAATGCCCAATCAACGAATGGGATTCGAGTGAGAATTAAGAATTGCCACACGATTCACCAAGCTCATGGGGGTTCTTAACCCTCTACAGTGGGCAGCGCCATACCTCGGATGAAGATGTTCATTAGTCAATAGCAGGGTCCTTATTTCTCTTGAAAATGTATTCAATATCTTGCATTACTTCCTGGGACAATGGCCTCTCAACTGTCAAAAAAGCATCAATGTCTTCTTTAAGCTGATCAACTGAAGTTGCACCAATGATCGAACTAGTCACGAATGGACGATCCCTGACAAAGGCAAGAGCTAGCTGCACAGGAGACAGACCATGTTTGCTGGCCAGCTCAACATACTTGGCAGTTACCACCTGAAATTGGAAAAGCAACATATAATCTTACTATCGCTGGGCACATTCAACAAGGAGCCTATTGGCATGAATTAAAATATATCATGACGGCATAATGCATAGACCACCACAAGCAAAACACAACATAATCAAGGAAGCATCTTATTGTCGGTGCTTGCAGAAAGAAAATAAGGTGAATATACAACATGAGTAGATTTGTTTCTTTACAAAAACTACTAGCATACCTTTGCATAAGAGCTAATATATCGTTCCATATAACCAGGGAAAAGATTCAGCCTTCCTTTCTTAGCAGCTACGTAATCAGGATCCAAATATTTTCCAGAGAGATTTCCGCCACCCAAAGGAGAATAGGCAAGCAGACCAATGTTACAATTGTTTGGATGACAAACTTCAACAAGGTCAACTGCAAGCATTTTGAGTGCATTCAGTTAGCTTAAAGATGATTTGACCTATGTTACTGTACTCTATGAATTGTAGCAAGTATCTGAGTCTGATACTTGATACTCTCTGATTCAGATGTGAAATCTGTATCTGAAACTTCAAAACTCAGTTGGTCACAAACACCACAACGTAAGGAGATTTAAAAAAAAAATACATATAATTAATTTAATATGTGAGAGAGAGAGAGAGAAGGGGAGGGGGAGGGAAAGTGTTTTGTGAAATGCACACAAAATGGTCTTTAGATAAATCTTAAACAACCATTAGCAAACAAGGGTATTTAATCTGGTGTAAAGAGAGTTACAAAATACAGAGTAGTTAACAAGTTAAACTGAAACATTTGAACATGGATTTGCAAACAAAAGAATGTGAAAGGCAATATAGAAATGTCTTATATTTAGGATATTGTTTCATGACTGTCGAATCCCCATCTCCAATTTATAGAAGAGTCCCCTGGTACAAATTTATGAAATTAACATGTAAATTGACACTTAGATATGTACCCAAACATAGCTGTTGCCGTGTCTAAAGTAAAATAGGCATGAAAAACATGATATAAGATATTGATGTTCAGAGTCTCAAATTTCATAAAAAGGTCAAAGCAACAAAATAACAGTGAAGAGCCCCAAGGATCAATAATGATGTTGCATGTCTACTGGTAGGCACGGGACAAATAGGCAAAAACGTCAGATGTGTGACACATATAATCCGCTTTACCACGAGTGTAGACTGGACGAAAGCAAAGTGAGCTCATATTAGACATCACTACTAACTTAATAGCAAGAGCATACTTAGATGATGTGAATAAAAAAGAGCCACCCTCTAAAAGTAAAATCCAAAGAGCAGGGAAAAGTTACAGAAAATGGAGTTAGAAGTGGTAAGCTTGCCTTCAAACCGACATCGAGTGAGTAGATTGTAGCAGTTCTGAATGCTCACGATCTTTGGAAGTCCTCCAACTTTTGCTGCGTGGACAAATTCCATAACACCATAAGAACTTTCATTTGAGACACCAATGTATCTTACCTACATGTGTGCATGACAGTGTGTTAATGCAGCAAAACAACACCAATAAGGACAGGAAGTAGCAACAAATAATAACTTACATGAAAAAAATGCATGCCAACAAGGAAATTTCACAGCACAATATTAGTACACAAGTTAATACAAAACTACAACAAAAATTGAGACATTAAAATGGGTGATCCTAGAAGTTATGAAAAGAGGCAAAAGGGGGCAAGTAAGCAAAAATAAGACAGGAGAAGAAACAGTTGAGAAGATGGGTGAGCTGTGAACAGAGTATATTTCTAAGAGAGGGAGTAGAACATGGGCTTTGCCATGGTTTCTCCCCATACTCCAAACAATTACATGTTTCTTGAAATGAGGGGAGTATTATTCTCTTAAATATAATATTCTACTTAAAATTGAAAAACCTTCTTTATCGATATTAGTTAATAAAAAAAAAAAAAATAGTAAAATCCTCTCATGAGATACATTACTACTTTTAAAAATTAGAACTCGAGAAATGGTGCCTTGCGTAGTTGGAAAACTTGTGACCATTAGCCAGTTCTACAAACATGATCCTCAGTTTATGACAACCTACAACATATTGTCACTCCTATATTTCATGTACTCAAGCAGTTATCCAACACTCAGTCTAGTCAAAGGAGGATATACTATGTAGCCAACATGAAACTTCTTCAAAGCTGAATTTTATAGTCGCTACGTGTTTGAACCTAATAAAAGAATTCATGTAGCTGATTGGATTAAGTTGGTTGTTAATTGCTTTATAAGAGAGAAGCATGATGCATGCATTGTAAACCTCTTGACAGCATATGTATGTGCATTTCATTTACAATGATTCCTTTAGTTTACCCGTTTTCTTTTTAAAATTTCTAGGGCCGGTTATGGGCTTAAGGCAGGATCTCAAGGAAAATGAGAATGTCTGCAAGATGCAATGACCTCTCACATGCTTCCTATAAGCTGTCGATACCTTTCCTTCATCAATAACTTCTTGCAAGGCCTTAAGTTGCTCCTCAAATGGCACACCTTCCCTCCATTTGTTGTAATCATACAAAAATTCACCAAACAGAGGGGCATAGCGATCTGGCCTGACAAAAAAAGAAAAAAAAAAAAAAAAAAATCTCATCTTCACTTTCTAAGCAACAAGTGGCAAAATTCAAGATTCAAAGCAGGGGATTCAGAAAAATTGATGTTACTTGGTTCTTGAAAAACAAAAGTGCTCCAAGTATTTTCTCACCAATGAATTTGTAATAAATCAATATAGTCAGTGTTGAGCCGCTTAAGACTTTTCTCCACACTTTCCTTTATATTAGCAGCATCAACACGTAATACTTCTGCATTGTCACGGATATAACCGGAACGCTCTGAATAACCACATACTTTTGTCGCTATAATAACCTGAACATACAGATGAATCAAAGTTAGGATATTCAGCAGTCCAAAATAAACAACCCAAATGTTACACCAAGTACAAAAGAAATCTAAGCAGTAGAAAGGCAACTTACAAGAAGAATGTAGCTAAAGATTATTGGATCCTAAAGATGAATGTGACAGATTTTTGAACAATTAAGACCATCTCTCTCCAGTCAGTCATGTAAATGTAAGCATACCTTATCACGGGGCTGAGACTTCAACCAGCTACCGATGTAAAGATCAGTTCTTCCTTGTGTTTCCTTCTTCATTGGGATCGGATACTGCACAACAATTGCTAATAATTTCAAAGAGCTACACAATAACATAGGTTGCACATATGCAGAAGAGGAATGTCACATGTTTGTGAGACTGTAACATAATAATCATCTCGAAACCTTTATTCTGAAAGTAGTCACAAAACAAGGCAGATACAGAAAGGCATGGAATGCTTACAGCTTCTGCAGTGTCTAAAATGTTGATGCCCTGATCAAATGCATAACTAAGCATATCATGAGCTTCTTTCTCCATATTTTGTTCTCCAAATGTCATCTGGAAACAGTACTAAGAATGAACTTTCAAATTTTACTAAAAAATATACTAGTAGAAAAGAATGTTTATGCAAAAAATAAGCATTGAATGCAGTCCAAAATGAAACACTTAAGTGATCTTCAACATAAATGTTCACTATTTTATTGGGTTTCGATTTTAGCTCTGTTTCTTGTGAAATTTTAACAAAAATCTCTTCTGGGAATTATTGTTATCTTGCAAAAAAAAAAAGGAGGAAATTAAGCTTAATTTCTTGCATTTATTCTAGCCACTTTTAGTGGGTATTGCTATAAGTCAGAATGACCCAAATAAAGTTCTGTAATTTACATTGTTACTCTACAAATACTTCGAAAATAGTTCATTCAACAAGTAATTTATCACAGTTTTATGTAAAAAAGGGTAATTCAACAAGTAAAACTCCCTTATTGTTATATTATCGTTAGTGAACCACGTAAACCTAAGCATTTCCGTTTGCTAATTTCCTTTACCATTCAAAATAACCTAGAAATTCACGAAATTTCATGAATCAATTGAAAGATAAGATAAGAGAGAAGAAGAAGAGTATACAGTGCCGAGGGTAATTTCACTGATGAGAAGATCAGAGTCGCCAAGTTTATTGAATTGCAAAGAGGTTTTCTGGGTTTCTCCAAGCTTAGCTTCAATGGCGAAGTTCGCAGCGGTGCTTCTCCGCCTACTAAAATGCGGCGAAAAGAGGCGGCGCGTGAAGTTGAAGCGAGTCGAATTGGCATTGTTTCCGAGGAAAGCGGCGGAGCTACTGGTGGTTGCGGTGGTGGTGATAAGAGTGACCGACGCCATAAGTTATCTGGATGTTTCTGGACGGACAAGCTCTATGTGGCAGTTTTATACCGTTTCATTTTCTTTTTTTGTTTTGGCTAATACGATGAAGGCAAAGTAAGGAATTGCTCCGTAATAAGGATTCTCCTTTACTCTTTAATCTTTATTAGTGTCTCTTAAGGGGGGGTTTGGTACTTTAACTGGGTTGTTTGTTTGGATTATTTGAAATAAGTTGAAATTGAGTTAGAATTTATTTCACCTAATTTTTTATTTGGTTGAGTTTTTTTAGTAATAAAATCTCATACCCGCGTTAAGGGGTTCTGATTCCCCCCATACCCATCTCTCTCCCTAAGATTCACAATCCATTCCAACAATAAAATCAAACAATTTTGGGCTAGTATGGTTTTAGAATCCATACTTCTCTAATATGAGATTTCATTCCAATCCATTCCAATTTGATGAACCAAACACCTAATGATTTTAGGTATGAGGTATTGAGGTGGTAGGTAAGTAGGTATGATTCAAATTAATGATTCGTCCTTATAGATTGTCTTGTGCCAAAATTAGTTGTGTCCTGGCCTAGCGTTGCATGTTGTGTTGCAATTATTGATTCAAATTTAATTGAATTTATTTTAAATGAGCTTTGAATTAAAATGATTTTAAAGAGCTTGGAATAAAAATGAATTATTTTCAATTAAGTATAACTCAAATTGTATCCTATACGTTGTTTGCTGCTTGTAAGTAATTGGTCTAGAAGTAAGCTAGGACTGTATCTCACAAGTTTGTGAACCAATTCTCATTAAGAGCACTTTGATCGGGTGAGGATTTTCTTACCCATCCCTATCAGTTTCCTTACTCCACTCATGTTGACTTGAGCGAGATTTTGGTTCAAATATTCAATAATTTATTTTCTCTTTACTTGCCCAGAAAAAAGTACTTCATATTATGTATTCATTTAATATTGTTACTGTAATAAGAAAATTTTATCAATTTGATTGAACTCAAACCATTTTAAAATATGAAACACATAGACTAGGACTCAAAAATCATGGACCAAGTACAATGAGATGACTACGTGAGCATACTTGATGAAAATGATGTGAAAAAGTCATCTAGCTTTTGACTTTGTGGTCACTTAGTTCAAGCTCCATGATTTATTATAATATTTTCTAATAGTATAAAAGAGTGAAGTTACATAAGTTTAGTTTGAACAACCTTTATTTGCATAATAATCTACACCTTGTTGAAATATTTTGATTCAACTTACACATTGCTACAAGTACTCCATAGGAAGGGCAAATCAAACATTATTGCTTCTCCACCACTACACCTCATATACGGAGTCATGGAACCACATGATCAAAGACTCATGCATCATAACATCCAAGTGTTGGACATGAGCGCTTGGCATACATGCATAGAAAATAGAAGACTACCAACATGCTCACCATTAACGTGTCATTGAAACTATCCTTATATATATTCCCCTTAATATTTTCTCTAATTCATTGCCTTTAATCTACCATGGCTTTTACCACCACTAATAATAATGCACTTCTCTTTTGGGTACCTCTATGCCTTCTTGTTTTCCTTATTTCTCCCTCCTTAGCTCAGCTACCACTGCTTCAAAGGCAGCCGCAACAACCAAGGGGCCAGCAATGGCAACATGACTGCGACATCCAGCAGCTGCAAGCGGCTGAGCCAACTCACCGTCTCAGGGCTGAGGCTGGGGTGATCGAGGTTTGGGAATCGAACAGTGAGCAGTTCCGCTGTGCTGGGGTGGCGGCAGTCCGTTATGTTATTGAGCCTAAAGGCCTTCTCTTGCCTTCCTACACCAATGCTCCTTATGTCACCTACGTAACACAAGGTGCACTATTTAATAAACGTTTACGTGTCCTGTTACATAATATGGAGTACTAATTTTCTTAAGCATATAAAATAAACTACAGGGTTGTACCAAAATCAGCATATAGATTGATATTTTAAGCTATTATACATTATTATGTGACAATTATAACATAAGTTTTTTTTTTGATACTTTATATTGGTGCAGGGAGGGGTATACAAGGAGTTATAGTCCCAGGGTGCCCTGAGACCTTCGAGTCACCACGAGGCAGTGGTTCGGATACAACTCGAGAAGGACAACGTGATCAACACCAGAAGGTTTTCCGAGTTCAGGAAGGTGACGTGATAGGATCACCTGCCGGTGTCGTTCAATGGACTTACAATGATGGGGATGCCCCTATTGTTAGTGTCACCTTGCTCGACCTTAGCAATCCTAATAACCAGCTTGATCTCAATTTTAGGGTATGTCTTAAGATAAGCCTCATAAACCATAGGCTATCACTATTTTCTCTAAATTGTCACGACTTTTTTATTTGTCATCTTAAAATAATATATGTGACTATTAATTTCGGACAGAGTGAGTATCCGCTCTAATTAAAATAAAATGTGAATAGAGTACGTGCAAATTAATATTATTAGTGGTGAATGAATTTCGAATTACTTATAGTGTTGCTAATGCATCTCAATTTTCATTCATACAGAGTTTCTACCTAGCTGGAGATCCCCAAGGTGGCCAGGAGCGAAGACCTAAAGAAGTTGCAGGGAAAAACATCTTCAATGGCTTCGACGATGAGATGTTAGCTGATGCTTTTAATGTAGACACCGAGACAATAAGGAGCATGAAGGCTGAGAACGATGAGAGGGGCAGCATTATTCGAGTCGAACGTGATCTCGAGATATTAAGCCCTGAATGGGATGACACAGAAGAGGAGAGAACAAGGAGACTAAATGGCTTGGAACAAACCTTATGCTCCTTAATCTTTAAACAAAACATCGATCGACCTTCGCTTGCTGATGTTTTTACCAAGCATGGTGGTCGTATTAACACCCTTAATGGCCACAAACTTCCCCTCTTGCAATATCTACAACTCAGTGTTGAGAGGGGAGTGCTCTACAAGGTAAAACGTCTGTATAAATTGTACTCCGCTCTGTTTCTTTTTGTTGCTCTTAGCTTGTTTGAAATCTTTAATTTATAAATTTCAATGAAAATGGAATTTAAATTAATAAGTGCTCAATGAATGTATATATATGAAAAAAAAATACGCATCTTTTTGATAAAATGTGTACATAGGGAAAAAAAAAAGTTGTGTGATTTTTCAATGCGTATTAGTTCTTTATAATACGTTTAAATTAAATTTAATGAAATTTATATAATATATTTGTTTCTGAAAGTTCGACTCACTTACTATTTATGGGGTCAAAATAAAATAACTTTGACCACATTTAATGACTTAAACAATATAAATAAATTAGCATATGGGATCTTAATAGATTCCCCTTATTAAATTTTTTTCAAATATCAACTTTTTATAATTTTCACTTATATGTAGCCGAATATATTCATGGTCAAAGATATTCATTGGAGACCGCGCAAATTAAATACAAAGTGAGTCGAACTTTCAAAAATGGAGGGAGTATAATAAAAAAATGTACATAGGAAAACATGCAAGGAAACAAAACGTAATTTAAACAACTTTTTGACATGATCATAAATTCATAATACTGCTTGTGTACTATGTGTAGTTATTTGAACAATTATTAGAGGAAATTTAACTTTTTCAATATTATTCTATGTAGAATGCACTGATGACACCCCACTGGAACATAAATGCCCACAGCATAATCTACATAACAAGGGGTACGGGTTGGATCCAAGTAGCCCGAGAAAATGGGCGGTTAGTATTTGATGACCGAGTCCAAGAAGGGCAGCTCTTGGTAGTCCCACAGAACTTTGTGGTGGTGAAGAAGGCAGAACAAGAAGGGTTAAAATGGGTGTCGTTTAAGACCAATGACAACGCGATGATTAGTCCTTTGGCCGGAAAGCTATCGGCCATCCGAGGCATGCCGGAGGAGGTGCTCATGAATTCTTATGACATGTCTAGGGATGAAGTGAGGAGGCTCAAGTATGGAAGGGAAGAGTTAAGTCTGTTTAGTCCTAGGACTAGGTCATTCTAGCTAGGGAAGTTTGTGGAATGAGTTTGTAATTTTGTGTGTAAAATTTAAGTGGGTTTCAAAGTTGTTTTTAGAATGTAATTAGTTGAATAAGAGAAAGAAACTTAACTTGCCCAATAATGTTTTTATCTCTGTTTAGGTTTGGTAAATGAGATTAATCAAATGTTTATTATAGCTCGCTCTCTTTTTTGTTTGATTTTCTTTGCACGTACATGGCCAATGTTTTGTCAAATTGTCTGGGTAACCAATGGATTGTTGATTAATATGGCCTCTACTACGCCTCTTATTGTAATATGAAGCTAAAAAGATATAGTTACAACCCAATCTAAGTAGCTAATCAGTTAATTACATAAATTGGTAACTATAGATCAGTTGTATATAAAATCACAACATACATTTTCTTCTTTCTTTATTCTAATGGTGCTTGAGATTGGTGTGAAATGGTTCTTTATTAACCCTTATCCGAACTTATTCTAACTCATTAAATTATTATTTTTTTTTGAAAAGTTAAAAAAAAAAAACTTATTTTATTAACTGTTATTTAAAACTTATATTTCATGAACTTATCTTTCCTAGCTACTAAAATAAGTGGACATGATGAGGTGAGCTCAACTGTTTCCATATAACATGATCGTAACGGACTGATTGATTTGGGATGAATACTGGAAATTAAGTAAATTGGGAGATTATATTAAGACTCGCAAGCCATTAAAAAAAAAATACACCATAATCTTATGGATATTTTGCAGGGAAATTTCAATTGCCCCTGGAAACTGCAGCTGCTCATGGCCGACATCACCAAGATTCTTGAGTCATTTACGACTTTTGACTCCCGCCGCATTTACCGTGAAGGAAATCAAGCAGCAAATTATGTTGCTTCTCTGAGATATTCTACTCCGAGCATCAAAATATCGACCCATTTATGAACAACAAGTTTTCTTATTTTTTACTTTTTGATAAATTAGGTTACGGTATTGTGAGAAGACGTTCCTAATTTTCCCTGTATTTTACTTAAAAGAAAAAAAAACAAAGGCTAGTTAACTATGACTACAAGTCTACCAGCCAAGTGCAAATAAATTAAAGTACCACGCACTCTGATAATAATATAACTTTGGCCTAGTGCTTTCGATGCTAAAATTTATTAGTGTCGTCAATGTGTCATTTTTTAACCCGATCTTGGGTTTCACCTCTATACTATTTTTATAATATAATAAGATAATTTTATTGATTAATAGTCGTCTTGCATCAATGCATCCATGATAAACATCAACTAATTACGCTGATACAATGAGGCTAAGAGGGTCCCTTCAAAAAAAAAAAAAAACAAATGAGGCTAAGAGGGCAATCTAAAAGACAATTCGAATGTCGTCTCTTAATTAGTTTATAAATATCCATAATCCCTAGACTAATTGAGCTGATTATTAATTATTGATTAAGAATGTACAACTAGTATCTTAGTGATATATGCATTGCCATTTGCCAGCAATTTATCAAATAGAGTACATGACATGGCTACAAAGTATACAAATGTGGCAACAAGTAGTAGTATGCTTCATCACTTCATCAGTAAAGTTGAGGCCTTGTTTCATCCGCCAAATTGTGTCGACATTCACTAGTATTATTAATCATTTGTCACTAGTGTTTCCTAGACTCCAAATTACACCGCGGCAAATTTTCGCATATATCATCACTCATCATGCATACAAATAGTTTTTACAAGATGGTATACACGATCTCAAATCCTGGTTACCCCACTTAATACTTTAACAAGTCTTGTGCATCCATATACGAGTACTTCTTATCATCAGTTTCTATCACATTATTATTATGTATACAAAGTAATTAATACTATTGATACATTTCTTAATTCTTACGAAATTCATCAAATTGCAAAATATATATACACCATCCATGTTTTCTTAGGAGATATACAGTCTAACTATACACGACTATAACCTGTTTGACAAGTCTATGCCAATTTTTGTAATTAATAACTCATTTGTCCATCATCTCATCACCTTATTGAATTAGCTAATGATTCACTTGATTAACAATCAATATATACCTTAATACCCAAACTCAAAACATGAATACAACGAGCATAGAAAAACAAAACTATACCATAATTAACAATCAAACTTGCACGTAATACAACTCCAATGATTAATTGAAGCCAAATGTTAACATTCTTGCATGCACCATACTCGCCACATACCCTGAACGTGAACCACAACAATTACGTGTTCACACTCAAACATCAAACATCCTCATTTTCATGCACCACTTGTTCAACGTGTCAAACCTTGTTCATTTTAGCCTCAACTATAAATACCAACAACATACACCCTCTTTCTTAAACTACTTAACTTAGCTAATACGCTCTCACTTCCCACTCTTTTCACAATGTCTAGAGTATTTCTTCTTCCTCTTGCTCTAACCCTACTCATACTCTCTCCTACTTCCTTGGCTCAATTGGGGTTCCAACTAGGCCAGTCTCCCTTCTTGCCTTCCGGCCAGTCGTCGCCCCAACACAGCCGGTTGCAGCGTGGCCAGCAGGCTCTCAATGATTGCCAAATCAACCAGCTTAGCGCTAATGAGCCATCTATCCGAATCCAAGCCGAGGCCGGTATCACTGAGGTATGGGACCCTAAGGAGCAACAGGAGTTCCAGTGTGCTGGTGTCACCGTGATTCGCCGTGAGATTGAGCCTAAGGGTCTTCTCTTGCCTCATTACAATAATGCACCTTCCATCTCCTATGTTATTCGAGGTACTACTTGACTAATATACTTTCAAATATCGATATTTTTATACGAGTATATATATTTTATACTAATATGTAATTAATAAGATATTAATGGTTATGAACGTATTATGCAGGCAGAGGATTATTGGGGCTTAGCAGCCTAGGTTGCGCTGACACCTACGAATCAGGCTCCCCCGAATTTTTTTCGGAGGAGTCTAGGAGGTCAGAGCGTTTCGAGGAGTCTAGAAGGTCCGAGCGTGGGTCCGAGGAAATGAGAGACCAGCACCAGAAGGTTAGACGATTCCACAAGGGTCACGTCATCGGTCTACCAGCCGGTGTGTCAAAATGGGTCTACAACGATGGAGAGGACCGTCTTACCATTGTCACACTGTATGACACTAACAACTTCCAAAACCAACTCGATGACAATTTGAGGGTGAGCTCCCTTTATAACATTCTTAAAACATTATTTGCATCAAAAAAACATTCTCAAAACATTATACTGTACAAAACTACACTAGAATAATATGATTTTTTAATTTTTTGCTCTAATCTTCACACAATTTTAATCATTTAATTTATTTTGATCGTCTAGTACAATCTTATAAGTAATTATACACATATTTCACAATATATTTATCTGGTGTTTTAAATTAAACAACAAATATTAAATAAATAAAAAATATCTTCTGGTGCATGCCCCATGCACCCCAGGTATATAAATTCTTTTAGGTATATATAAATTTTTTTTTGGAGTATACGAGAATATTTACATATTTTTTAATCGTACAAATCTAATTATAATCTAATAACTAAGCTAATTGCATGCATGACTATATGTAGACATTACTAATTTGTTTGAATGATGAGCAGAGCTTCTTCCTAGCCGGAAACCCACAGGGAAGAGGAGGAGACCAATCAGGACGACAGCACGAGTCATCTCGCCGTCACACAAGAGGAGGCCAGGAAGAAATGGGCCAGAACATCCTAAGCGGCTTCGACAAACAGCTCCTAGCAGATGCCTTCGAAGTAGAAAGTGACACAATCAGCAAGATCCAAGGCGAAAATGACGACAGAGGTGCAATCATCCGTGTTGAGAGCGGAGAGCTCGAGATGTTGATCCCTGAATGGGACCAGGAGGAGCAAAGATCAGAGAGACACCACCGTGGAGGAGGAAGCGAACGGTCCGAGGAAGAGGAAAGGTCAGAGAGACACCACCGTGGAGGACGAGGACGACAAAGCGAAAGTAGTCGCCCTCACAATGGCATTGAACAAACTCTTTGCAGTGCTAGGCTTAGTGTGAACATCGACAACCCTGAAAGGGCTGACGTGTTTAACCCTCAGGGCGGCCGCTTGACCAACATCAACAGTAACAAACTTCCCATCCTTAACTACCTCCGCCTTAGTGCTGAGAAAGTTAACCTCTACAAGGTACGTAACTAGTTTATATATGATCGATCGATAACATTCTTGTATCATTTACACCCTCTTACACTTTTCTCGACCTTCATATAGTAGACTATATGGAGAGGGGTACATGAGAGGGTGTAATTTTACACCCGAATGCAGAATAGAAATTTAGTGATAAGTTTCATCTATTTTTATCCCCCTAATTTTAACTTGTAAGTACTCCATAGCTTATATATAGGTACTTATATATGAGGCCGTCCCACTTACTCAACATGAGAAATAAAATTTGTTTTTTAAGAGGTTAAATTTGTAAAATTACATGTAAAACCGCTACTTTAAGTATCGTGAAGTAGCTGTTTTGCCGATAAATAGTTAAAAAAAATGTTTTTATTTACGTTTTTGTCATGAGAAACATATCCTTATATATAGACATATACTCACTAGTAATCTAATATAATTGTGTTACAAAAATTGACCTTTTGTTTTTTAAAAAAATATATTGTATGTGTTAATTTGTGAATTTACTGATGCATTTATGTGTGTATTTTTAACCTAATACAGAATGCTATAATGACACCAAACTGGAAGATAAACGCACACAGCATTGTCTACTTCACAAAGGGAAGTGGCCGTGTCCAAATCGCAAACCACGAAGGGGAGCTAGTCTTCGACGACATGGTGCAAGAAGGCCAACTCGTAGTAGTACCACAAAACTTTGTAGTCCTAAAGAGAGCAGGACAAGATGGACTTGAATGGGTTGCACTCTTGACCAACGACAACGCCATGAGCAGCCCACTAGCAGGCCGGATCTCGGCCATTCGAGGCATGCCCATCGAGGTTGTCATGAACTCGTACAAATTGTCAAGGGAGGAGGCACAAAGGCTCAAGTATGGAAGGCAGGAATTGAGTGTGTTTAGCCCTTCAAAGAGGTCTGAAAGGAGGGGAGATGAGTATGCCATTGTGTAAGAGTATGAGTGTTGACTAATGAAGTTTTTGGGAGAGAATAAAGTAAAGTGGTGGAAAAGCTAGTTAGCTAGTTATAATGGGTTTTGTTTGTTGTATCGTAGGCTTTTGTATGGTTTTTTAGGTGTAAAGTTCTATGATAATAATATGGCCACCTTTACTTTGGTTACACTTATGAATATTGTTGTATCAAAGCGCGTTTGCAGTTTCCAGGAATCGTACCTACGACCTCACGAATCTCTAATTATCAGCTTAAGAATCTAAGACAGCATGCTAATTGCAATAATAAGTCAATTTTTGAAGATAAAGTTTATTGCATACCGCTTAAAGCTAATTCTATCAGTGTAACCAAGCTACTGTAATAATTAAATTTTTTTTGGTATATTTAAAATGTTCATAATCATACGCCTTTTTCGTTTTAATTTGGTATAAAATATTCATAATCATACGCCTTCTCCATTTTAAATTAACTGTTACACTTGACTTTTTAACCTCAAATCTTATAAACTTTGACCTAATTCTATAACTAACATATAAGGAAATTAAAACTATTTTCAAACTTAATTTTTTAACACAACGACGACACATGTACACTTGATTTATACTTTATAGAATATGAACCTTGTATACTATTATCAATTATTTTGAAATTGAGGGAGTAATCATCAATTATTAGAGCGGAGAACAGTTGGGCATGGATACGGAGTATAATTTTTCCAAGTTAATTGCCTTACTATTAGCGGGTGAGGTGTAAAGGATGCATGCATGTTTTTGGAAAGTGATAATGCTACCTTTTGGTTTTTGAAGAGAAGCAGCCAAGCTAAGCTAAGTAAGTACGGACTATGGAGTAATAGTCTTTGTACAATAAGTGACATGAAATAATATTTTGCTTGGTTGGCCATTAAAAGTGCTAATTTAACCACGTTTATATGTGGTCAGGGTACAAAATTAAAGTATACATATAATGTCTTGCTTTAATGCATATGGCCTGCCCACACATTCGAAGTTATGGCGTGATTTCCAGGTCGGATTAAAGAAAAGTAGAGACTGTTTGCAATCAATATCAAATCAAGATTTTTTCTAGGGTGACAAAATACTTTATTTTTTAGGCAAACCAGTTTAACAAAAGTTTTTCCCTTGCAATAGACATATGCTGATTAAGAGTCCACTGCAACTTTTCGGATAATGGAAACGAAATGGAAAGGTAACAAATAAGAGGAGGAAAAGAATCATTTAACTATTACATTTTCATTTGTTTGGTTTAACCATGGAAATGAATCGGTTTAGTTTTACTCCCTTTGTTTGTGTTTGAGAACAAAGGGTAAGGGTATTTGTTACCCTAAGTTTTTGAGATGCAACAAATGAGAGATAACCATTACCCTCAGGTAATAATAATTGTTACCAAACATTCTAGCCAAACATTCAATAATGGTATCGATTTAATCATCCATTTCCAATTCAAAAATACACTTACTAAAGATGCTCTTAATCTTTTATTATTGTCGAGGAGGAAGAAGAGCTTCGATGTATACTACTACTAATAATGTGGGACAGATAACTCCCCACTAGTCCATTACCACAATCACTTAACAAATGCAAAACTAGTAACTAAAAATAAGGAAGTATTATCTTCCACAAACAATCATAATTTGGATCACTACGTACGTACATTCAACAATTTAGTCATGTGACATAAACCTCATCACGACATACAAATAACTCAAAAATTTGTTTGGTAACACACTATATACTAAAAATCAAGCAAGGCTTGGTCCAGTGGTAAAGGTTTATCACCTCATAATCAAAAGGTTGTGGGATCAAACTCCATTAAAGGCAATTTGGGGTGGGGATTCCCTTTCCCTTCCTCCCTCCCAAATTGTCTAGCCCGCTAACTTGGGTCAGGTTGTACTTGTGAGAGGTTGTGGTCCGGTAGAGCCCTTCTCCTTAACGTTAAAAAATAATAATAATAAAACAACACTATATATACTGAAACCAATTATTTCGTTTTATATATTTGAATTCAGTGGCGGATACAATTAAGACCAAGGGTATGCAAGTGCATATCCTTGGTGGAAATAAAATTCATCTTCTCTTTATTAAAAAAAAAAAAATTACATATATACACCATGAGACTCTTGTATATGAGACGCGAAATACTCTGTACATATTATCATGTTACAATATGAGACTTTTTTTGAATTATGTGACTGATTTATCGTGTTTTAATGCTATCACATGTAATTTATACATTATTATAATTGTGCATATCGTGTTCTAAAATTTTGGATACGCTACTATTTGAATTGTGTTTACTCTGTGTATGTAACCCGCTATACGTTCATGACCTTCCAATCTGATCTTCTCCATTTTTTAACCCTTGAAATTCAAAAGAAACTTCGACAAATTGATAAAAGAAATCGAGGTTGATAATTGAATAATAAAAAGTGTGAAGAGCTTTAAGGGGAAAGTTGTAGCACTGAGGGTCCAGGGTTCCAATATCAAATCAAGTTGGATTGCCGAAAGTGCTGCCTATATTTCCAGGATGTGGGGTGCTTTCGCACATCCGCGCAAGTCTTTTCTGTATTTCTCCTTTACAATTTCATATCATAAAAGTGCTTAACAAGTCACAACCCATGATATACATATTCACTAGAAAACTTAATTTGAACTGGCGTGAATAGTATTTAAATGGAAATTACAGTGAAAAAAAGTAGTGGTAGTAAAGAATGAGAATGAGTAAGCTAGTGTCTCGTGATACAGTGTTTTCTACATTAAACGTTTAGATAAGTGCAAATCATATAATACAGATTCTCTAGAGAAAATCTCTGATGTGAATGAAAAAGTATAGTATATAAATAAAGTTCTCAATTATATATATAAGAAATCTGCGGAATGCTTTCTTTTATATTTAGAATATTAGAGTGTCTATTAAGAACAGAAATCGAAATTATTATATGGTCTTAAATCATTACTTTCACTTTACACAACATTAATTTTCTTTTTAAAGACAATCAATAATAACCATTAATGTTATTATGAGTGGCCGTGGGCAAAGTAATGGATCGAAAAACATGATATAATTACACTTCTCTAATTCAAGCAGATAAATTTATCTACTTTGTATTGAGTAGTAATTAACACATACATGACAAATTTAGAAATCTTTTAGAATTAGCTTTGGTGCATTACTTCATTACTTGTGGTTGATGACTCACATGTATTTTGAGCTCCAACACATAATAACATAACCTTATTTGGGAAAAATTATAATCCGATCCTATCCATAATTGAATTACAAATTATACCAATCCTAGTCAGCTTTAGCTCATACAACGACAATAACTGACTTATCTATACACTATTGTTGTCAGCTTTCTATGATTATGAGATTTATAACTAACCATAGTATTATCCATTAATCTAACATAACTATACAAATTAAAGTGGAATTACTTGCTAATTAAATAAATTGATTACAATTAAATGTTTCCTTAACTATGAATAAATTCAATCTGCTTATTCACCAAACAAAAAAGTATGATTAGTACATTTTTGTACGTAACAATAACATATCATGTCAAGTCCCCACCTCACTAACCATGTTTCTAACCCAAAATTTAAAAAATGAAAAAGATAAACCAAAAAGCAGCCAGCTTAGAAAAAACACCTTAAAATTCAAAGAAAATTTATTTTATTTTTCACAAAAAAAAAAAAAAAAAAAAAAAAAAAAAAAAAAAAAAGCAAACAGCATCTTGTACCAAATCCCAGCCTAGCAAGAACATAATACATTATATGTTGTAACAACCCAAAACTTAGGCATAAAGCCATCCTCTTAAACATTTAAAACGTCGAAACAATAAAATCATTTACGAATTGAACTACGAAACCTAACAATCGATTCAAAGATTATTCCATTCTTTCTTTCAAGTTTAAACCTATTATTGATGTCTTGCTTCTACCTCCCTAAGAAGCTAAAGCAGCTACCTTCTTCCACAAAGAAGGCTTGGAATTCCTTCACATCCTCTGTCTCCCCTAAACTCCGCAACCTCCGTAACATCAACAAGTGTAGTACCCTCCCTAGAGCCCTCACAAGAACCGCCACTCGTCTTTTCGATCTCCATCACAACAAGAAGCGCCGTCGATCTATTCCAAGGTCGCACTCGTCAGCTGGCAGAGGACGTGACTTTTATTACTACAAGGAGTATAACAACTACCAACACCATCAACCCTACGCTTCGGGGCCTAATAGCCCTGCTGCAACCGTCTATATCGATAGGCTTTTCGGGGAGTCCATGTCTTCATCATCGATGTCGAAACAAGAAGTGATTAAAAATGATGTTACAAGACATACAACAACAAAGGATGAAGCGTCAGCAAGTGGTGGTAGTACTACGGTACGAGACAGCAGCCGGGGTGGCGGCGGTGGTGGTAGTGGTGGAAAGAAGAAAAAGAAGGTAAAAAATCATACTACTAACAATAATAATAGTAATAATAATAATAATTGGAAGGAGTATATTTCGTCGATGCCTAATATAAGGGGAGTTGATGAAAGGGCTGAAGAGTTTATATCAAAGTTTCGTCAAGATATGCAAATTCAGAGAGAACAGTCTATAATTGAGTTCCAGGAGATGTTAGCTCGCAGTGCATAATTTATTGATGCAATGATATATATAGAAGTATTAATTAAATTAATATGTGCGTTAATTATTATTGCTTCATTTTTTCTTATTTATTATATTACTTGTTAAATTGAATTATTTTTAAAATGGGTTTGTGAATGTGTACAGGGAATGAAATTATTTATGGGAATGTGAATTTCAGAATTAGATAATTTATTTTTAAAATGTAGCATAAGAGTGTATGAATGAAGCTAAGGTTAATAAGTTAGTTAGGAGTGTTTGTTTGTTTTTTTTAAATGAATTTAATTATTTATTATTAATATCTTTCAAATTTCTCCATGATGAGTCATGACTGATCATGAATTATACAATATGAAAATTTCTTAGTTCCGTAATTTACAGAATCCTAGAATTCCGTCCGTTTTCTTAGTTCATGTCTATTGTTAGATTATGTAAATAATCTTGTGTATAATTATGCTTGTAATTTACTATTGTATCCTTAGCCCTAACTCTAGAATACGCTTGTATATATAATCATGTTGTTTAATCAATGAGAAAGCCACGACAAATATTCACATATTCTCTCATGGTATCACGAGTCTGGGTTTCTTTCCTGACAAACCCTAATTCTCTTCCGTTGTCCTCTCTTCTTCATCTTCCATGGCCGAATCAAGCAAGCTCCATCCCTCCACTATTGTGACGAACATCAAGACTTGTATCCCCATTACTCTTGATTATGATGGCACGCAATACAACAACTGCTCGACCCTATTCCAACTTCATTGCCGTGCGAATTTGGTTATCGATCACATCATTCCACCACCGGTGGATCCTTCGGCCAAGAAAACCGAACTCACACCTGCCGAACAAGCATTCATGCAGCGTCTTGATGACATTGTGTGACAATGGATTTATGGGACTCTCTCTAATGACCTTTTAAATTCAATTATCGATCCGGATAAAGCAATCGATATGTGGAATCGGTTGGAAAATTTCTTCCTCAACAACAAGTCTGCTAGGGCTTTGCAACTTGACGCTCAATTCACCAATACTCGGCTGGAGCAGTTTGATGGCGTCAAGGCATATTGCACTCGGCTTAAGACCCATGCTGATAGCTTGAAAAATGTCGGGGATAAAGTCTCCGATAATCGAATGGCTTTACAATTGTTAAAGAGTATCGGAAGAATACAAACCCTTTTGCACTTTCGTTCGCCATCTCAATCCTTTACCCTCCTTTGATGCCCTACATTCGATGCTTGAACTAGAGGAACAAGGTAATGCTACGGATTTGGTAACCGAATCGAGTGAAGAAGCGCACGTCTCTCAGTCTTCTTCATCCTCGCAGCACCTCAAGGGTGATTCCTCGCAAAATTCTGCTCGCGGTGGGGGATCTCAGCCGGCTCGTGGTGGCCGGAAACCCAAAGGGAAAGGCGGTGCAGGTGGTCACGACAATCAACAGGCCCAGCAGCCACCACAGCATCAGTAGTGAGGTGCACAGCAGCCCGCGGGGGGCGCAACAGTGGCAAGGGTGGATGTACCCTCCACCTTGGGGCTACTGGAATCAGGGACCTTGGGCTACACCCCCCTATCCGTGCCCTGTTCAGGGCCCAAGCCCAATCTCTTGGGGTCCAAGGCCGAACCAAGCCTCAATGCAGCAAGGGCTTCTTGGTCCTTGTCCATCTCAAGCCCATTATGTTTCGGGTCCTCCTTCGACTCCTCCTTCTTCTGCTTCAGGTTATGTGCCTACGAACATTGAGCAAGCTATGCATACTATGTCCTTAGCCGATCCGAACTACTACATGGACACTGGTGCTACATCCCACATGACACACTCTCAAGGTAACCTGTCATCGTATTCTCATTTATGCAAAAATAAAAATAATACGATTATTGTTGGTGATGGTAGTAAAGTTCCAATTTCAGGTTATGGTAAAAAATCCTTAAACCAAAACACACTTCAACTACCCCCGCCGAGTACAAGCGGGCGATGGTGCGGATGACACTACGTATGGTCAGGACGAGCAGCCCTTCTCTTCTAGTCCTCCTCCTTCTCCGCACCCTACTACCTCCATATTGCAATCATATCCCATGGCAACACGCAGAAAACACGAGATTGTCAAGCCAAATCCAAAGTACCATGACTAAGCACACCACATTTTTACCTCCATATCGCCTATTCCAAAGAACCAGGTTCATGCCTTACGTGACCATAATTGGAACCTTGCTATGCAAGAAGAATATGATGCTCTCATTGCTAATGGAATTTGGAAATTGGTTCCGAGACCGTCTAATGTCAATATTATTCGATCTTTGTGGATTTTTCGGCATAAGACTAATTCTGATGGCTCTTTTGAGAGGCATAAGGCTCGTCTTGTTGGTGATGGTAAGACACAAAGGGAAAGGATTGATTGTGATGAAACTTTTAGTCCGATCGTCAAACTGGCTGCTATTCGGGTGGTTCTTAGCATTGCTTTATCTCACTCTTGGCCAATTCATCAATTGGATGTTTAAAATGCATTTCTTCATGTCATGTCCCAAAATTAGTCAAAAACCTCACTTCTGTTAGGAAATTCACAATTGACAATAATGTTTCTATTGAGTTTGTTCCTTTTGGGTTTTCTATAACGGACTTGCAGACGGGGAGCAAATTAGTGTGAGATGTAATAGCAGTGGCGATCTTTATCCTTTCTTCACGGATCATCAAGTCATTTCAACTTCCATTTTGTCAGCTTTTGCATTTGTTTCTCCTAGTTTGTGGCATTCTCGTTTAGGTCATCCGGGAAATGCTATTCTTAGTACTTTGCGTAGTAGCAAACTTATAAAGTGTGATAAGGCTTCCAAACATGATTGTCGTTCTTGTCCTTTGGGAAAATTAATGAAATTGCCATTTTACGATTCTATATCTCACACTACTATGTCTTTTGATATTGTTCACAGTGACTTGTGGACGTCTCCTATTCTTAGTTCTCTTGGCCACAAATACTATGTTTTTTTCTTGACAATTACAGGAATCTTTTATGGACCTTTCCAATATCATCTAAATCTCAAGTCTATAATTTGTTTATTCGTGTTCGAACATATATTCGTACCTAACATGAGAGAGAAGTAAAAGCATTCCAATGTGACAATGGTCGTGAGTTTGCCAATGATCCATTTCAAAAATTCAGTGAGCAACATGGCATGAATTTTCGATTTTTGTCCTTACTCTTCTCCACAAAATGGCAAGGCCGAGAGAAAAATAAAGACGATCAATAATATTGTTCGTACTCTTCTTTGTCATGCGTCCATGCCACTTTCTTTTTGGCATCATGCTTTAGAGATGGCCACATATCTCCATAATATCTTGCCCACAAAAATTCTAGGCTATAATTCTCCGACTCAAATTCTCTATCAAAAGCATCCCGACTACTCTCATCTTAGGGTGTTCGGCTGTCTATGTTACCCTCTTTTACCTTCATCCGAAATTCACAAACTTCAACCTCAAAGTAGTCCTTGTGTTTTTCTTGGATATCCATCCAATCATCGAGGGTATGAATGCTATGATATGTCTAGTCGCAAAATAATTTAGCTAGACATGTATGGTTTGACGAGTCGGTTTTTCCTTTTTCAAAAATTCACTCCCCCGAACCTCACACTTATGATTTTTTGGGTAATGACTCGAGTATTCTTGACAGCCCCTTAGTGCGTCACCATTAAGCTCACTCTCCAGAGCACCGTGCACCTACCTCACCCACCACAAATCCAGCAAGTGCTGGTGCGGGGAAGTTAGAGCACGTAGCAACCCCATACCAAAGCCTGCCTTGCGAGGCACAGCAGCCCAGCATGCAAAGCAGTCCACTCCGCAACCAGGTTGCGGTATTTCTCCTTCCTCCGCAGCCCAATTGCGGAGTAGGCTACACAGCCCCATACTGCAGCAATCTCAATCTCGCTGCTCTCCTCATGCGCGTGTGTTTTCCCCCACTGCTCAGCAGCGTGGCATTGTGCCACCTCCTACTACCCCCGCCGAGTACAAGCGGGCGATGGTGCGGATGACACTATGTATGGTCAGGACGAGCAGCTCTTCTCTTCTAGTCCTCCTCCTTCTCCGCACCCTACTACCTCTATATTGCAATCATATCCCATGGCAACACGCAGAAAACACGAGATTGTCAAGCCAAATCCAAAGTACCATGACTAAGCACACCACATTTTTACCTCCATATCGCCTATTCCAAAGAACCAGGTTCATGCCTTACATGACCATAATTGGAACCTTGCTATGCAAGAAGAATATGATGCTCTCATTGCTAATGGAACTTGGAAATTGGTTCCGAGACCGTCTAATGTCAATATTATTCGATCTTTGTGGATTTTTCGGCATAAGACTAATTCTGATGGCTCTTTTGAGAGGCATAAGGCTCGTCTTGTTGGTGATGGTAAGACACAGAGGGAAAGGATTGATTGTGATGAAACTTTTAGTCCGATCGTCAAATTGGCTGCTATTCGGGTGGTTCTTAGCATTGCTTTATCTCACTTTTGGCCAATTCATCAATTGGATGTTTAAAATGCATTTCTTCATGGCAATTTGAATGAAACTATTTATATGTATCAACCATTGGGTTTTAGGGATCCGGCTCGCCCCGATCATGTTTGTTTACTTCAAAAGTCTCTTTATGGTCTCAAACAGGCACCTAGGCTTGGTATCAATGATTTGCTGACTTTGTTGCTACTATTGGTTTCACTCATTGCAAATCTGACAATTCTTTGTTCATTTTTCACCATGGAAATGACATTGCCTATATCATGTTATATGTTGATGACATTTTCCTTACATCTTCCACAGCGTCTCTTCACCGCCATATCATTTCACGGCTCAGTTCTGAATTTGCCATGAAGGATTTAGGAAGCCTGAGTTATTTCTTAGGTATTGCAGTGACTCGGGACAAAAATGGCTTATTTTTGTCACAAAAAAAGTATGCTAAGGAAATTCTTGAGAAAGCAGGCATAGCCAACTGCAACTTAGCTTCTACTCTTGTTTATTCAAAAGGAAAAATGAGTACAACCTCCGGTGGTCTCTATGATGATCCAACCGTCTTTCGTCGTTTATGTGGAACTCTGCAAAATCTCACATTCACCAGACCTGATATTTCCTATGTTGTTCAACATGTTTGTTTGTTTGTTTATGCATGCCCCAGTGTTGCTCATATGGATGCTCTGAAACGCATTCTTCGATACATTCAAGGTACGACTGATTTTGGCTTACATCACTATAAGTCCTCAATCACTTATATCTTATCTTACACGGATGCTGACTGGGGCGAGTGTCCGGACACTCGACGTTTCACATCCTGTATTATGTTTTTCTTGGTGATAACTTAATATCATGGTCCTCGTAACGTCAACCTACTTTGTCTAAGTCTAGTGCTGAAACAGAGTACAGAGGGGTTGCTATCTGAATCCTGCTGGATACGGAATTTATTGCTCGAGCTCTGTTGTCCAGTCTCTAAGGCTACATTGGTTTATTGTGACAATGTAAGTGCTATTTATCTTTCCGGCAACCCTGTTCAACATCAACGAGATCGAACAAAGCATATTGAAATGGATATACATTATGTTCGTGAAAAAGTGCAGCGTGGCGAGGTCCATGTTTTACATGTTCCGTCCCAATACCAAATTGCAGACATCTTCACTAAAGGTCTGCCAAAGATTTTATTTGATGATTTCAGGGACAGTCTTGTGTATTCGATTATGTAAATAATCTTGTGCATAATTAGGCTTGTAATTTACTATTGTATCCTTAGCCCTAACCCTAGAATACGCTTGTATATATAATCATGTTTAATCAATGAGAAAGCCACGACAAATATTCACATATTCTCTCATCTATTTGTGGATCTAATTCGTACGTGTATCTCTATAATAAAAGTTAGTCAATTTAATTTGTGTCAATGATGTAGAGATGAGGTTACACAAGAAATCACATGTGTTGTTGAGGACTTGAACTTGAGCCTCAAGGTAACACTAAATTGGGCAATATTTAGTTTTCAAAGGATTTCATGTCTAACACATATTATTGACACATGAAAAATGAAACACCTTAATTAGGTTTGATGGAGTATAAATTTAGACTAAATCGATTTGTTTCATTTGTTATCTAAATCGATCTTGTGTAAACTTATCTTATTTATATTTGAAATTTAAATAGCTACTTTGGTAAGGAATTGTCTTATTTAATTTGTATGTGAAATTGCTTGAAAAACTTTTATCTAAACATATTTTAATTTGATTGAAATAAGTTAAATTAGTTGATCTGAAATAACCCGCCTAAGTGAAAATCAGTCAACTAAATTAAAGTAAAGATCGGACTTCCATATAGCATTTGCTAATAATCAATCATTATAAAATTTAGTCATTCAATATAAACATTTCAACACGTTCCATATATAATTAGAATTTTGTATAGTTGAAATATTGAAGGTATTTAAAACATGATATCAAATTCAATTTACATTATTGTCCTTCGTGCCTCTGTTTACATAATATCTTTGTCTTACTTTACTTGCACCACTTGACCAAATAGTTCTCTCAATTTTGGTCAATTTATGCAAGTAATTTAATTGAGACGAAGGTAGTCATAATATATAATACTCATTACATAAATTATTATTATTATTTCACAAGATTTTTGCAATCTCTCTATTGCATCATCTTTTATCATATTCATTTCAAAATTACATGTCCATAGTAAGGGGCAGAGCGTGTTCTATTTACTTGATTTTCACTTATGTGAATTAAACTAAAACTATGTCAATTTACCATATTAAAACTTATGTTAGTTGTATTTTGTACTTGTGTAACCCAACCCATTAACCTTTATCATAACTTATTTTTCCTGAACTTATTATCTTTGCTTATAACAATATGCATGTCTTAAGTATGGTTATATTTAGAGATCATTAGGTTTCAAAAAAAAAAAATGTTTAGAAATCTTTACTAATTTTACCTATTTGATGTTGAGTTCTCCATATATTATTCCGTGTTGGAGTTATTCACTTATTCCCATAGTACTAACTACTAACTCCAAGTCTAGGTTCATTGATTTTGCTTCAAAAGATCAAAATTCAAATTTGCTTGATTAATACCATGATTATAGCAATTAGTTGACTTTGATCCTCATATTTCCTCCTCACTAGCCGTTTGATACATAGATGGAAGACTAATTAGTATACATGCATAATTAAAGGGTTTTGATTAATTTCTTATGCATGGTTGCCGTGAAATATTAATTCCCTTCCTTTGACTTGAGCTTAGTGAAACTACTATATAAATGAAGCTCCTCCACTTCTTTTGGACACGCTAAAAAGGATATATTTCTCTTCTTTACGCTAAAAATGTTACACAAAATAATTTCTTGTTTTGGGCATTGTTCATCGTGTTCTCAATCTAGCTCTTCGTAGTACATCGGAGAGTTTGAGTCGTGTAACCTTGGAGGTTGATTGCTATGAGTCCGTGTATACAAGTACGGGGCAAATTCGACTTTAGGGCAGTCATACTATGTCACGCCACGACATTAAATCAGATAAATTTATTCTATTATTAATTGCAATTAGTCATAATTCCTACATTCCGGCATTCCAAACTAGTGCATTGCATGCCTATCATTTTCAAACTTTTTTTTTTTAATGATCAACCCTTAAGGGTTCATTAATTGGCATGAAGTGTGTACACAGGTCTCATAAATTACTTCAGCAATTCAGCATGATTTGCCGGATTGGAGAAAGCAAACAATTTAAAAAATATTCGATAATGCTGGACAGATAATAGATGATGATGAAGTATTGAAGTATAACATGATAGTTAGATCAAGTACTCGTATTGAATAATTTAATGGGTTTAATTAGTTACTTTAATTTACTATTATTATCAACTAATCCGTACAAAGCCACTATTTTATAATTTAAATTTTCAAAGAACTTTACTTATTAAAAACAGGTAAAAGCTTCAGCTCAATAGCACCAGATATAGCTTGGGTGTTGTGAGTAGCAGTGTAGCACCACTTTTAACTAGAACTCCCTCCTTGTTTAAATAAATGAAATATTTTTATTTTTGCACTATTCATCTAATTTACTTTGACTAAATATTTGTGATTTATACATAAGAATAAATATAGTCATGTCACTCATGTGGGTACTTGTTAGAATCGTCTTAATGAATAGTTTATTAATATTCAATTGTTATAATATTTACTTATTAATAATTAAAGATATATTCAGTCAAAATTTTGCATTACCATACGTGCATAAGAAAAATGTTTCATTTATTTAAACACGGAGGGAGTAGCTAGATGCCTAGAATAACATCAATTTTTGCAATGGACGCAACGTTTGTCGTAAATGTTTATTTCATTTAGTAGCCAAAATGTTTAAAGGCAGTGTTGCTTAATGCACTAAAAGTCATAATTGGTATTGTTGAGGCAAATTTTGCCTTAAATATAAAGAAAGTACTAAATTATGGAGTCAACATCCATAACAAGGCAATTAGTTTGGCATGTTTTAGACCTTGTTGATGAGTTTCCGGAAGATAATTGGAGGGAGGGAGGCATGGATCGGAGTATGTTTAGCATCTTAAGATGCCTAAAGATCGGAAAAATGATGCATGTAATTTAACAATTTAATTTGTTAGGCTTGTCCTAGTCCTAGCTAGCGTCAACTATAATAAGAATAATCTAAAATATTATTTAGCCTGACTAGATAATGAAAACTTTATTTAGCGTGGTTATTTACGATAAAACGGTAAGACTTAGAGAGGTTTATTATAAACTTTTCCAATTAGTAGTAGTGATATGAAGGTAATTTTTTCATTAAAAATTGGTTATTCTCTTTATCATGTCGTTAAATTACATTAAATCACAGTTATAAAATTAAAAGAGAATTATCGACTTATTATTATTGAGTCTAATTCATGACTTTAAATTGTAGTATTCCTTTCGTAGAAAAGATCTAACCCCTAAAAATTGCCACTTTATTAGTTTGTTTGAAATAGATATGTATGACGGTGATGTATTTAAGTTTAATGAACTAGAAAAAATCATGAAGCAAATTAAATAAAGTGGAATATCATGCGTCTCCTATGAACCTATGATGGTTGGTCCTTATGCTTTAATGAAGAGCCATTTTGCTATGAAGATTTTATGCATTATTCTCTTTGGTTCAAATAACGCCACCTGGCTCAGGTGACTAGATCATTTGCTCAAAAATCTGCCCTTTTTAATTTTTTGTATTTATTTTTGGAGTCAGTCACCAACTCATGGTCACCGCAATCAAACAAAAACAGAGCTAATTAAACCCAGGCCACTGGCTAATCAAAGTCAATTTATTAGATCCCTACACTAGTACAAGAACAAACCATATTTATGTAACAAGACTACAAAAGTGTATTTTAGGTTGGGATTTCCCTTCAAAGATTTAGCCAACATGTCCACACCTTGATTATGACTTTGGGCTTCAGTTGTTTTAATATTATGGTGTGATGCTTTGGAGAATGGTTACTTATGTAGTTATGTTGCTATGTTGGGGTCGGGACTTGGGGTAAGCCGCAAGCAAAAGAGGTGACATTACATGTTACTTCCTTCATCTCATTTTAATCGTTTATATTATACCGGTTAATTTGATCTAGGTTAAAACCTTTTTAGGATTTTATTAGATCTTATTATTTGGTTTAATTAAATCTCATTAAAACTTATTAGTCATTATCTTCTATAATTTGAACTAATCAATATTTATCTTACCTTATCTCAATTTGTTAAATGTATTACAAGTAACTATTTTCTCATCTAATCTGAACTTATTAGCTTTTATCTTATCTTATTTGAATCAATCTAAGTTTATTATACAGGTATACCATTTTCCATACAAAATCGTCAAAAAAGTAATACAACTATACAAGTACTCTATATTATTCCCATTACAAGGCTTCATTTCTTACTAATTTTTTTTTTTATAATTTAATTTAATTTTCTACCTTCATTACAATGCTTCATTACAATGCTTCATTTATACTCACTCCCATAGTCCCATCCCATTGCTATAATTACGTGTTGTCTTACATTGAACCATTCTTGAAAACCACAACCAGTCAACCACATAATGACCCCAAATAAAAATCCAAACCCCGCCAAAAACGCCGTCGTATAACTAATCAAACAACTGATTAATTAATCCCATTAAACACCCTTTCCACCCAGCTATAAATACCTCGGTTCTCATTTCTCTCTCTTCCTCACATCACTTCTCAAAACCTTTCTTCTCCACTCACCTGCTCGACTCATCTCACTTTCTCTCTCCTCCTTCGAATTCGTCGCACTAAAATGGCCAAAGAACCAGTTCGCGTCCTCGTCACCGGTGCCGCCGGTAATTTCCCTCTCTTTCTCTCTCCTAATTTTTGTTTTCATCTATTCATTTTTAGCTTTCCAGATCTGTTTTGATTCGTGTTTGATATTTTTTTTTATTGCGATTGATCTAGGTTTTGCTGATTTGTTTCAGTTTTTTGTTAGATTGTTTTTGATTTGATTAATGTGTTAATCTGCATGTGAGATCTAACTGTCTGTTTGGTTTTGATTTGATTATTCAGTATTTTTAGCTGATTTTTGTGTTTTGGTGCATTTTTTGAATTAGATTCGTGATTTTGAGGTTTTATTTTTAATTTTGTGATTTATAGCGGTTGAAATGTTGGTTTATAGCTTAATAACGAATCAGTTATGACCTAAAAATGAATTGAATAGGAGATACTAGTGGTAAGATTTGATTTGATTGGATATTGTTGAGGCAGTGATGACAAAAACATTTCTCGATGCTGAATTAGTCGTTTGAGACTAATTGCGAGTATGCATTTTTGTGTGTACTTTCTTGATGACCGCATTTGTGCGTGTCTGAGCCTAAACATTCGTATCTTTAACCTTATTCCAATCGTAAATCGATTTTTGATCTGTTTTATGTTGTTTGTGTTTGTGGTGTTTGGATTTCGTTTTTGTATCGTGCCCTTACACTTACACCGGTCGCACTTTAAACGAGTTCTGTATATCCTTGTATTTATGTATTTATTATATTGCAATTCGTGTTAAACAACAGTGTGTGGCTATGTCTGCTTTGATCGACTTTGCATTGCTGTATATGACTGCAGCCATGTTGTTATACTATTTGTGATTCAAACTCTGTGAATCAGTGTAAATCTTTGTAACTTGTTGTATCGTTGTGGAAGTTGTGTGACCTGATTATTGTTTTTGGATATGTAGGGCAAATTGGATACGCTCTTGTTCCCATGATTGCTAGGGGAGTAATGCTCGGCGCTGACCAGCCTGTTATTCTACACATGCTTGATATCCCACCTGCCGCTGAGGCTTTAAATGGAGTTAAAATGGAGCTGGTGGATGCTGCTTTCCCCCTTCTTAAAGGTTGGCGATTATGGATTTTCTGATGCGGAGTTTGAAGTGTCTGTTCATATGTTGAGGATCTCTGTTTATCTTTTGACATGTGAACTTATGAATTGCTATGATCCATAATTTGCAGGTATCGTTGCTTCAACTGATGCTGCTGAAGCCTGCAAAGGTGTAAATGTTGCTGTCATGGTTGGTGGCTTCCCAAGGAAAGAAGGCATGGAGAGGAAGGATGTGATGGCAAAGAATGTGTCAATCTACAAGTCTCAAGCATCTGCTCTTGAGCAACATGCTGCCCCCAACTGCAAGGTTTGTTATTTAGCTCAATTTATCTGTAAATTCTGATAAAAGTTGTAATTAGTGGTGCACACTAGCATTTATCAATATCAAATTGGCTATGGTAATCATGTACATAATTCACTACTGGCATATTTTATACTACTTTGTCTCTGTCTTCTGGGATCTTAAATAATTAAATGATAGTAAGGAATCAATGAGGTTTATTCTGTATGCTAGTCCCTAGTGATTACAGATGAAAACACGATCATCAGATCTGCTGATTGCTTAACTCACCTTTTTTGACTGATGTTCTGAACTACTCATATCATACTGTCCTGTCCTGTTTTATTTGAGCCTGTTGACATAGCCCTGTTCTGTATTAGAATAGCTGAGGAAAGAAGTGAAGTTGCTGTGAAATATGTTTCATGCCACTCATGGATAAGTTTCAAATTGGTTATTTGGTTTCTAATCTTCATGTTTGTTTGATGTCCGATTCTCATGATTGCTTAGTCTTTGCTTTTTTACCTATTTGTTTCTAATTGGTCACTTGGTTTCCAATATCAATATTTGTTTGATGTCCGATTCTCATGATTGCTTAGTCTTTGCTTTTTTACCTATTTGTTTCTAATTGGTCACTTGGTTTCCAATATTGATCACTTGGTTTCCAATATCAATATTTGTCTAGTGTTTCCCCTGTTTTTTATCGTTTGGCTAATTTTGATGAGACCACATACTTCATTTCTGAACAGCAGCATCTAGACTATAGTCATTTCTTAGCCTCTTCTCATGCCTTTTTTCTTTTCCTGATGCTTTAGGTTTTGGTTGTTGCCAACCCCGCCAACACCAATGCCTTGATTCTAAAGGAATTCGCTCCATCAATCCCAGAAAAGAACATTTCATGTCTTACGAGGCTAGATCACAACAGGGCTCTTGGCCAGATTTCAGAAAGACTTAGTGTTCAAGTATCTGATGTTAAGAATGTGATCATCTGGGGGAACCACTCATCATCCCAGTACCCTGATGTGAACCATGCAACCGTGAAGACTCCTAGTGGTGATAAGTCTGTGCGTGAGCTTGTTGCTGACGATGCATGGTAAGTAGAAGAGAGGTTAGAGAATAAATAATGATATGATGATTTCATACCCTTTTATTTTTTGTTTAAATTTGGTGGCATTGTTTGCAATTGTGCCTTGCAGGTTGAATGGAGAGTTCATTAGCACTGTGCAACAACGTGGTGCTGCCATCATCAAAGCAAGAAAGCTCTCCAGTGCCTTGTCAGCTGCTAGTTCAGCTTGTGATCACATCCGTGACTGGGTTCTTGGAACCCCAGAGGTTAGTTTTCATCTGTGCTCGTTTTGGTAACTGATCTATGTTACTCATATTTCTACCGTCATACTGTGGACAATTCCACAGTGAAGAAATTTTTGTTTTCTTTCTCAGCTTCAAGTGTTGTAGCTGTGTGTAATGCTTGCTTGATTACTCTTTACAGGGTACTTGGGTTTCTATGGGTGTGTACTCTGATGGCTCATACAATGTACCAGCTGGAATCATTTACTCTTTCCCAGTGACATGTAAAGATGGAGAATGGAAAATCGTCCAAGGTAATTACTCGTACTAGACAAAATTTTTTACACTGATATAATGAATATGGTCGTAGTTTGTAAAATCAATTCTTGTCTTTAATAAAGCTGTTGATTGTTTATTCTGAGTTCCAACTTTGTTGCGTGTTTTTCAGGACTTCCTATTGACGATGCATCAAGGCAGAAAATGGATGCAACTGCAGCAGAGCTTGTTGAAGAGAAGGCTTTGGCCTACTCATGCCTGGCTTAAGCTCAGTCCCATTTCCCAATGTGTTCAGTTTATGCGAGTAGTAATAGTAAAATTTTGCAATAAGCCCTTTGTGAGACTATTGAGTGGCTCTGCTTGTGGCAGACCATTACTCTCGAAGACTGATTTTTGCAAGGTTTCTTCTAAATTTATAGGCATTGAAGAATTTGCATAGCAGTGAGATGATAATCGGAGGGGTGTTGAGGCACAATCCTCTTATCTGTATCATACATTTGACATTTATGTGATTTGATCCTTCTAGTTTCTAAATCCCGAATGGCGAATGCTATTCTTTCTTTTGGCTTTTGTTTATAATTATATTAGCTTGCAAACTTGCAGGCTTGCAGAAGTTGGTTCATTGCTGTTTCTGAATACAGGCTCCACACTTTCACCAATAGTATGAAACCAGGAAGTTAAGTGGTATCGTATATTTATAGAAAAATATCTAACTCTTTACATAAATGTGTGGGCATTATCGTTTATTGGTTGCACCTTAATTGATAATAGCAATAACATGAGTACATCAGGGCAAAGTAGTCCTATGCCATTGTGGGCTTGAAGGATTTTATCAACATCTATTTATTATGCTTGAATCATCTCTAGCTCACAAGATGGCTGGCCTCCTTGTACGACAATCTGCTCTTGTTGGTGCCCATTTATATGCTACCTATCGTAGTTGTCAACTTGTCATATACTTGGACACTTGGTTATGCTGAATACTCCTCTCTTCTTGTAACATTGAGCAATCGCTGAATTGTGCTTGGTAGATAAAAAAAAAATTGATTGCATGTTGAGGTGGATTCGCAGACGATACAAAAAATTTGATTGTATGTTGAGGTGCATTCGCCAGAAAATCGTGATCCTCAAATGTGGGTGCATATAACACCTAAGAGATGTATGAAGTGCTAAAGCATAACAGGATTTGATGGTTCTACCTTTACCATCAAGGTGCATATTGCCCTTCTAAGATATTGAATACTCGTTTTTTTTTTTTTTTTTTTTTTTTTTTGGCTAGTTGATACTTGTTAGTCTAACAGGCAACATTTAGTGATCTGACTATCCGCGGCCATGATGGGTCGAGGTGTTCTCTCACCCGCTTCAATTGTGCCAATGTCGAATGACCAACACATATATGGCTTCATAGTAGACTTGACAATCTTAACCCAGACCCAATAACCTGACCCGACCTGTGACCCGAAATCGACTCAAAAATCAACTTGAAACCCAATATCAACCCGACCCGAAATTGACCCGAATAAACTCGTAACCCGAAATTAATTAAAATTACCTTATAACTTAACTAAAAATGCCTGGTGCCAAAAATGACTCAAATTGTTCATCCCACGGTGGCCAAGCTCATAAAACGAATTGATAGGTCTTATTATAACAATTACAAGATATAAAATTATCAATTAAGCTTGATCCACAAACGAACAACCCGAACATGACCCAACCTGAACATGACCTGACCCTAACATACCCGACCTGAAATTGACTCGATCCGAACTTGACCCGATACCTGACCCCGAGTTATACCTGAAACCCGAATTGACCCGTACCCGAACCGAATGTTAGCTGACCCGAAATAACCTGGACCCGAAGGACCCATTTGTCAGGTCTACTTCATAGCCTGCCTCGAAGCTGAGGCTTTTTGAAACTACGTAGCATGTGAGAGAAACTATAACTATGTTCACAAACATTTGAGTCTTGAACTTATTCGGGACCTTCTAATAGGCCCTTGAAAAAGTTACAATTATCTCATGAAGGTCGAATCCAAGAAGTGAGCTAAGACTCTTAAGAGATCAAAGAAGACTTCCTATTAGAACTGAGTGGCCTAAATCACATAGGCCCATCACTTCCCAGGCCCAGCCTTATTCTACGGGTGTGTGCATTGGGATGCCTATGATCAATTGATCACTGTGATGGTACACTAGCTAAGAACTTGTTCTATTTTACTTAATATTATTTATTTTATTACTTCCGATTCATATCATGTGCAATATTTATTAAAAACAGTGCTACACATTATGCGCAACAAATGTTTTCTTTCCTATTTAAGTTGTCATTTTTCTCTCTCTCTCTCCTTATCACATGCATCTATATATTTCTCTCTCCATTATTAAACACTCACAAAGAAACTTTACCTAAATTCGTGTCTAGGCTTTTGTTGCACATAATATGAAATGGAGTTAACGTAGTAGAATTTTTTTTTTTTTTTTTTTTTTTTTTTTTTTTAATTTGTTTATTGAAACCTTTCAACTAGAGATAAGTAGTTGTGACTTTTATAAGCACGTTCTAACTCTATGCTAGCTAAAATTTGATAACACAAATCAACCGTATTATTATATTCACCTATCTCTTTCGAATGCTTATTGTTTTCAATTAGGGCAACAATTTGGAACAATCAACATCTTTGTTATTCCACAGCTGGCAAAATTAACACATTGATCTCAATTGTGAAGTGTAGGAAATTGAAATGGCGGCCAAAGATAACATGAATCTATCCAAATATATGGAGCTATCAATTAGTTGAAAAAAATTCCTATAACAAGCTTTCCAATCACTTCCTTAAACAGGAAAATGATACTCAAGTTGATACCTTTTGCTAGGTAAAAGACTTTGAAAATATCTAAGTTGAGTATCTAAACTACTTGTAGACTAAAATTAAGATTAACGTTACTAATTAACTACATGCATGCATGGTCCCAATACAACTCACTCCTAGCTTGAACAAAATTTTCTAGGCTCGTGGTCTTTTGATGTAAAATTGTGCGTACATAGACCTTATATCAAATTAAAGACTTTTCAATAAAACACTTATATTAGGAAGTCTTAGTATTATTAGGCATCCAATGAGCGCCGTTTACATAGACCTTGCATGGATAGACTACGATTGAATGTTATGCAACTTGAAGATTGTGACAACACTAGTGGCAAATCGATCAAGGGAGTATGTGACATAGACATGATTGTTTTGGTGGGTGTTGCTGTCATACGACAGTCGTGACGTATATATCTTTTAGTCCCTAATTGAAATTTTCAATCTTTGTAAATTTTGTGTACTCGTAAAAGAAAAATATATATGATCGTATAACGATTGTAGTCGGATCAATTTATGTGACAGTTTATTTATTTTAAGGTCCGTTTGACCGTATGTGAGAAATTGTTAACATTTTATACGTAGTAAACTAGTCATTGATGGTTAAAAGTATTAATGGTAAAAACTGTTTTCAGTTAACATGTATGATCAAAGTGTTACTATGCAAGTAGTATACTTCGTACCAAGTATCATAAAGTATTGTAGTCAGATCAATTTATGTTACAGTTTATTTATTTTAAGGTTCGTTTGGCCGTACGTGAGAAATTGTTAACATTTTATACGTAGTAAACTAGTCATTGATGGTTAAAAGTATTAATGGTAAAAACTGTTTACAGTTAACATGTATGATCAAAATGTTACTATGCAAGTAGTATACTTAGTACCAAGCGTCATAAAGTACGTAAGTTACGTGTGTGAGCTGTTATTAACTATAATTTTGTATGATTGTTAGCCTTCTTTGAAAACATCATTATAAAGTACTCTCTTTATCCTTATTTTTTTTATTCTATTTGACTGTGTATGGTCTCCAAGGCGCGTATTAAAATGTCTATATCTTTATTTTCATACATATAAAAACTATAAAAATGTGATATTAATAAAAATATACAATGAAATGAATCTAACAAGACCACTCATGACTATATTATCTTTTATACATTAATAATAATTTATGGTTAAAATTTTCAAAATTTAACCCTAAAAATAGCAATAGGGAAAAAATAAAGGGACAGAAAGAGTAGCAGATTAACCTATCATGTTCAACTTGCCTACACTTAATTATCTGAAAATTAAAGATTAGAAATGTCTGCAACAATTTCTGTGATTTGACATTTTAATTCTAAAGTGGTTATATCTGAGTACGTGATAGTAAAGTCGTCAAAACTCAATATTTTAAGCATTATGTCTGGAAATAATAGTGAATTTTTGCTATCATCCATTTATAACATCATTATATTGTGTGTTTGATTGCGTGAAATTCTGCTAGTTGGGGTGTTCAAAAGAGACTAGAGAGTAGAGAATGCATGTGCATGCAAAAGGTTGACCCAATATTGGAATATGTCTTGAATCGGTATGTCCTATATAAGCAATAATCTATCATGATGAATCCGTTTATTATATTTTACTACGAAGTATAATTTTTATTTTTATCTTAAAACCTACTTTATTTTGTTAGTACTTCATAAACTTCTTGAGTGTTTTTTTTTAAATTTATAGAGCATGTATTTTTATGAGTTTTAACATATCCTAGTATCTTACTATGAATTCGACTTAGTGTACAATTTTATAATGTAAACTCTTATAACTTTTATTAACACGTAATGGAAGATATTGATGATCAAAGGTAAAGACTGTTCAAAATAGTAGACATTATATTATAAAATAGAGGAAATATTTTTTTTTTTTAACTGAAAATAGAGAAAATATTAGCTACTCCTTCTATTCCACGAATTCACGTACATAAGTTTTGACATTTTCTATTGTACATCTCACGACAACTATTATCATAATAAAATTGAGTAGCCTATTGACAAATACTTAAATTTAGCTAGACTTATTTCAAGTTTTCACATATGACATATTGTATACTCCATTAATTAAATTACTCGAATTTGAGTTTGACTAGTTTGATCGATATTTTTCCGCCAAAGGTACAACATTACATTTGACGATTTATAACTTATAACTTTATAAGTACATTATTCTGTTGTGTTTTGCTACACATAGAAGCTATATACTACGTATTTCTTACATAAAAAATATCGTTGTTCTTAATGGAATTGTTGGTCAAAGTTGACTTTCCATAATTTCAAACTTCTACGCTAGAGGATATTTAAATTAAAGTAAAATGATTTGAATTGAGTGTTTTAAAGTTTGGGCTCATTATAGGTAGGCCTCTTACAACAAGACGACCGATTAATAATTGATGAGAGACATTAGCCCGTTAACCTTATTTATGTAGAGTTTTATTTATCAAGATTATTTATTACGGCTGTAAAATAAAAGTGAAACACAAAGCTAGCATTTAAATTGCACTTTTACCATCACACTCATAATTTTAAATTCTGCTTTTGCGAATAGTAAGGGATAGCTCGAATGGTTAGATTTTCCCTCCCGTTACCAGATGATCCTGAGATCGATTTTCATCACTTACCCTTGTGGTTCTCTAAAAACTCACATACACACAAAAATATAATTTTGCATGACTCCTTATATGCAGCGCTAAGGTATTTATCTATCAAACTTTTTAACATATTTATTTCTTTTTTCATTATTATTATTTTGATTAAAGAGAGAAGTTGTTTATGTATTTTGATATATTTGTTCACCCTATATTATTGATAACTACTCACTAATACATTACATAAATTCATTCATAGTAAATTAATTAAACTTTTAGTTTGTAATTTTGAATTGTTTAGTATTAGTAGATGAAAGAATAATAAAATATAATAACATATGCACATATTCCTTTATGACATAAACACACTTAAAACAATTTGGGGTCTAAACTCTCCCCCTCACTTACCTTATTATATGAGCCCAATCTCTCAAATTTGATAAAAAAATTTATCATTTACTATAGAATATGCATTGGATTCTATATGAGTATATGTAGTCTTATTCAGTTATTGTTCTAGTAGCTGAAGTTAATTTTTAATTTTTATGACGTCACTTAAACACATAAAATAAATTTCGGATTCTAACAAGATCTACTTAACATTAATATTGCTGCTCATTTCCTAAGGTAATTTAAAAAAAAAAAAAAAAAAAAAAAAAAGGAATCCTCAATCAAAGTTATAATAGGTGACTTAGAAAATCCACAAAATTTATGGTAAAATACAGAATAATACGCCCAAGGTTAAATACAATTAGTAATTCACAAGTGTACATATACAAGTCACACACAAACACACCCGTACAATAAAGTATGCTTGTATTGAATATTAATTTTACTTTGTGGAAGTAGATTTTTGGTCCGAAATCTTCTTATAAATCTCTCAAAACTCTTTATCTAAAGGTCAAAAAACAAGCGTACACTTTTGACTTTTGTTCCCTTAAAGAAAATCTAAACTACTATACAAAAAAAAAAAAAAAAAAAAAAAAAAGAATTTCATTTTTTCTTATGGTTATTTTTAAAAAGAAAATAAAATAACCAACAAAAAAAAAAATCAACAGTATAATAATTTCTTAATTAGTGGGGTAAAATAATCTCCATTATCCATCCTTTTCACGCCGCCCTCATTGCATGTGATTATGCACCTAAAAAGTTGCTCAAAATTCTGGCAATTCTGGGGCCCCACCTGCTTGGACAAAAACATCTAACCAAAAATCCATGTTATCTTTGGCATCTCCATAATTTACTGGGCCTACGTTATTATCGTATACTTGTGCACTAAATTTATTATTTTGTTCTTCGTCACAAAAAAATGACTCAAATTGTACCATTTGATCATTATCTTCCATAATGTTATCAAATTCGGATGGTAATAAATCTTGTGGCTCCCAAAATGTCTCGTCTATGATGGGAAGATAGTCCAAATTCGGCAACTGCTGAATACAATTGTCAAAAGTTTGTACGTCCATGATAAAGCTCGTGTCACTTGGTACTTCTATACTTGATACCTCAGTGCCTGATGAAGACATGTCGTCGCTTGTTAATGATGATTGTTGGGGAGAGCCGGAGGTTGCGATATGATCACTAGTGCTTTCCGGGAAGCTGTATCCACTAGAAGAGTCGTCGGTGGTGGTGGTTGTGGTGGCGGCGAGGGCCTTTTTATTATTGGCATCATGACATTTTTTAGCCATTTTTCCATGTGATTTTGTGGGTTGATATTCTTTGAGCCTCTTCTTCAAGTGTGTGTGCCACACATTTTTTATTTCATTATCTGTTCTTCCTGGAAGCCTTGCTGCTATAGCGGACCACCTAAAATAATTGGAAAAAATAACATAAGATTTCTATATCGTAAAAATAAACATGATTTATGATTTCTCCAATCCTAAGTTACAGTTCATTGAAGAAAGGTGGTTAATAAAAAAACGTAAGCTCACCTATTTCCCAGCATTTCATGAAGTTGAATAATGGTATCCTCTTCTTCTGTTGAGAAGTTTCCCCTTTTAATATCCGGCCTCAGATAATTTATCCATCTCAATCTACAACTCTTCCCACATCTCAATAATCCTGCATAATAATAAAAAAAAAAAAAAAAAACAAATTTAATATTATATAGATTACTAGTATTATATATACTATCCGAACTTGCAAAACTTGGTTCGAGCAGTATATATAATAGGGTTTGAAGAGGTTCAAATGTAAGTAAGCTTACCAGCTTGTTTGGGGAGGGCGCGCCAATTGCTATGGCCATGATGTTGAATAAAAGAGATCAAGGTTTGATCTTCTTCAGGAGTCCAAGGTCCCTTCTTTAGTCCAACCTTGTCACAACATGGAGCTCTTCCCATCTTTCTTATTGTTATTGTTGTTGATCTTGTAGTATAGTTTTCTTGTAGTTTTTAGAAGTGAATTTTTTGTAGTTCTAGGCAAAGAACAAAGGAAACTTGTTTGTTTGGTGTAAGAGCACGAGGAGAAATGAGGTATATATATATATATAGTGGAAAGGGTGAATAAAGCTAAGTACGTATGTAATTAGTTTAACTTTGAATGGTCCAAGCGTTTTAGTAATAAAGGTGTACAAATTTTACAATTAATTACTAATATCAAAATTATAATCATTCAAAGTTGATTTTGCAACTTCTTGGAAATCCTCTTTCTCTCTCCTTCCTAGCTCCTTGCACGTATGCCTTTTTTTGTTGTCATCTTTTGTGAGACCAATGAAAGTGTATATATGGACGATTATTACTCTCATTTTCCACATCCAATTATAAATATAAAAAAAAAAAAAAATTTATTTTGCTAAAGATATGATATGATCAAATCACTTTAATCATTTCTTCTTGAGATTTAGGAAAAATTCACTAACAATTTTTAATATGGCGTTTAACCTATGGTGTAATTTTGTATCATTTATATGCACCATTATATGTTTGGGATATGTTCTAAAATTATCTGATCTCTTAATTACTTCATTTGGTTACAAATGCAGCAACCATTTGATTGATCTAATAAAAATCGGATTTACTTTTTTTTTTTTCACTACATACACTTTCACATACTCTTCGTCATATTAATTAAACTTTTTTCGGTGATAATTCATCAAGGTTCTTGCACTACATTTTCTCTCGACCCCATTCGTTTAAGCTTAGCTTTTTTTTTCATAAATTTGTTTCACCTCATTATCAACATAACAATTGTTTACAAAATAGCCTTAATAAAATTCACGCTAAGTTCTTTATTTTTCGTTAGACTTTTCTAATTTTGTCAGTTTCACATTTTAATTTTGTTACTGTATTATTAGACTATTGGCGCTAAGTATAATTTTTTTTTTCTTTGATTATATTGGCAATTAATTAACTTCTTACACAAGCACCAATAGTCTAATAATATAGCATTTACTTTCTTATTTATTCTTACTAAATGCCACTCAAAAGTTATTACGACATTATCTCCGCTCTCTCGTACTTTTCCCTTAAACATGCCCCACTTTTCACACTTTCTCTCCTATCCTTAGTTTTTGAAACCTTAATATTTGTATGTGTTTAGCTGTGATTTAGAAATTAATCATGATAATATAACACGTTAACATAATTTCACATCAAAGGGTGAATATATCAATTATTATTTAAAAAAATTCTCAAATTATAATTCTTTTATGTAATTATTTATATTTTTCATATCAATGCGAGATAGTGGAAAATAATTGTATTCAACAAACAAGGTGGCTTCTTTAGTCTCGATTATATATATACTTGTAACTTGTAGTACATGAGTTCATCATCATATTTTTCCACTCAAGCCTACTTTAGATTTTATTTCATATAATATTCAGATTAGACTAATCTAAGTATTAGACCCTACTTACTCCAATGAAAAACCGAATTAGGAGATCGAAGTGTTCAATTTTTTATTGTTAAAGTTTAATGTGAAAGAAATTAAGGCAATTATCGCCATCAACTTTTATATTTAGCTTGAACAATAAAACTTTTCATCTTGTTATACAATTAAAAGTCAGTAATATTTGATTGATCATGTCATATTTGGATACATAGAGCACTATGCTTTAGAATAAGACCAAAATTAGTTTGGATCTACCTAATTTTAATTTGATATGATTTACTTTTACCACTTGTTCCTCTAAAATGTTATTTTTAGTAGAAATTTTTGACCTTTTCTAATCAATTTTAATTTTGGACAGAAAGACATTGATTTTACAAAAGAGAATTAATTTACTGATTGAATCTACTTTTTTTTTTTTTTTTTTTATACTAGTATATATACTTCCTCTATTCCACAAATATTGCAACAATAATGAAATTACGCATCTCAAACCACATTTAATATGTTAAATATCTATAATTATATAAGAGTAAAAATTATAAGTATGTATCATCAAAATTGATATAAGTATTGTAATTCATATAGTATTTTTACATGTAATGTACTCTTTTTGCACAATGAAATTTTCTACGTGATACAATTTTATTAACACAAATTGTTGTCAAACCTCTATATGTTAGAAAGAGCTATGTCAAGCCTAATTTTTCTTTTTATATATAATATATACAGAATACTTCATCGAGTATTAATTTAATTAAACGAAATTTTTTTTTTGTCATCACAAAATATGCTTAAATATACTTTATGTACAGAACATGAAATTGCAGCTAGGATGCATGGAGGAAGAAGCATCATATGCATGGACGTATAAATTAAATAATTAAATTTAAAATCAAAGAAACATAACTTGCATGAGATTTTAGGTACTACAAGTAAAAGAGAAGCCATTTTAAAGAGGGCCCTCGGACAAAAGAGGGCTTGCATCATCATATTATAAATTTTATAATAATAGTTAATGCACCAAACTTTGTATTAGTAGTATATTATATATGATACCCAAAAAGAAAGTAAGAAATGTAGCATTTAGTCACACTATTCACATTGTTCGCTAATCAATTAGTCGTTGCCCCGTCCAAAATATAATACTTTAACTAATATTATTATATAGGACTACTATTGACCAGCAAGTTAAACTCGGTTTGGTGATAAATTTCGGTGGTTTGATTTTCACTTAGGGCACTTTGAAGGCAGGATTTCGTTTCTTTACCCTTTTTACACTCTCAAATTAAAGCATACATTTAGCCCTAGCGCAACTCGAATTGATGTTGGTTATTGATTGATCTACACATAATTCTAAGTTAGTAGGCATTTACCTTTTAATGATAGACAATAAATAAATTTATATTGAGATCAATTTAATAAATATCTCGTTTAACTATAATATTCTAATTTATACTCTGTGAATTCCAAAAAAATAAGTGAAAATTGCATGTATAATTAATGTAAAAATTCAAATTGCATTATTAAAAAAATAGAGAAAATATATACATAAACTGTTGCCCTGAATTTTATACGTATTGCTCATGCATGTACAAACATGCAACTTGCATCCGAAAGAACATGTAGTTTTTTTTGTTTTTTGTTTTTTGGTTTTTTTTTTTTTTTTTTTTTTTTTTGACAAGAAGAAAAGGAATTTCATTAATAAAATATAGCCAAACATCGCTTACATGTAATTCCTAAGAAATCAGGAATTCAAACACAAGTACACACCTTAAAACTAAATACATCGTAGATTTGATTAACAATCGCCGTAATAAAAAACTTCATCTAAAACAATACAATCTATGAGTTCGCACTGATTCGGCTTGAAATCCACTGATGCGTAGTTATTGAGTGAAAATACTCATATATTCCTCTGGGTTCTTGTTGAGATTAAGAAACCCTAATCTTCAATTCTCGCTATACAAACAAGAAAATAAACTCAAGAGAAAATCATCATCTCAAGAATGAGATCTATTTATTGAAAGCAATTAAAAGGTTTTTGGGGCTTACCACCTGTAAGAATACCACTGCAAGCCCCTACAAAGATTCACAACTGATACCAAGAGGAAAGAGATGATAGCTAGAGATAATGAGAAAAGGGAGAAGAGAGAAGGAAAACCTTTAAAAAAATTGAAAAAACCTAGTAATAGAGGTTAAGAAAACCCTCCCAAGGGGAAAACCCTAGAGGGTACCAAAAAAACCCTCCCAAGTAGAAAACCTAGAGAAAACTCCACATAACAGTATACAGTTATCGAAAGAACATGTACTCCCTCCGTCCCTTAATGATAGTCCCTTATGGACAATTTTCACCGGAATTAATAAACATAAATAAGAACTAGTAAAAAAATATTAAAAAGGTAAACTTACATTGGGTATGCAAAAAAGTAGAGAGAGAAAGTAATAAAAGTACATGAAAAAATAAAATTTACATAGAATAGTTAAATTTGCACAAATATTGTTGCAAGTTGGAGGGAATTTTTGTAAAAAATTAATATTAATGGTACTTGAAAAAAGCAAATAAGACTATTATTTTGGGACTTAAAATTAACTATAAGGGATGGAGGAAGTAGTTAAGTTGAAATAATTTGGCATTATTATGATAAATTGTTGACCGAAAAATTTGGTAACGCAAACAAGAACCAAAGGGCGCCGATCAATTAGTCAATATAGACGTCAAATGAGTACTTGTACTGTTGCACACCTGGACACCATTTCAACTCGCTAAAGCCACGGAAGCAACGTATTCTGCCCCACTTGTACTACAACTTGCTACTATCTATCTCCCACAAATCCTTTCAGTTTGGGTTAGTGTGTTAGACATTTTGGGAGTGAGAGGGGGGAGAAAAGTAAAGGAAATTCCCATTACAAAGTGTCTCTAGTGGGGTTTGGTCCCACAACTTCAACTTGTATAGTCGTACTCTGTATGATTTATTTTCTAAGTCTAAAATAAGATATTTAAGTATGTGTTCTAGTTATCATCTGATTTTATTTATTTGAACTTATTTTAGTTGTAAATTGCATTTTGGATAATTTTTATAATGACCCTTATTAATCCCTTATCACAACTCATTATAACATACGTGTATATGTAAAAATAAGGTGAATACAACATGACTTAATATGATATAACATTCTTATCTTATATATTAAGTGTTGGTCGATGTTTTTTATTACTCCGTTTTATGTTAATTGATTATTACTTGCTCCACTTTTCTATTGCGGCCGTATTTAATTACTTGCTCATTTTTTTTTTTTGAAACTTTTAACAATATTTTACTGTACTATTTTCTTCATTACTAGTGGTCCCCTCACATCATATTTCAATATTTTTCATATTCTCTCTCCTCTTCATTTATACTCACTTTTGCTTTTTTAGATTTTTTTATTTTTCAACTAATTCCACTTAACTTCCATCATATTTTATCATTTTCTACTATTTCCCCTAAACTCCGTGCATGAAGAAATGAAGCAAGTAATAAAATACGAAGGAGTACTCCGTAGTAGAAGTATAACAAAGTATTGTACCACACGTGTTAAGCTAATAGGTTATGCGTAAAGTCAAAGAGAGTGGAAACTCTATGAATGGACTAAGGATCCTCCAAATATAGAAGTAGTGGTAAAAGGATAGGGTTCATATT